TTCTCTTGTAAACAGCAAAAGGGAAATTGGGGGGGGGGGGACACACAATGGATGCCTATCGTGCCGACGTCATTAACAGCTCGTCACTGAATTATTCCAGAGGTGTGTATTAGTAATGTGGGAGCTAAGTCGTCTGGAAGTGGATTTGAGTGTAAGCTCTGGGCAGCTCTCCTACCTGTGAAGCCTTTGTACGTATGAGTCATTTTTTCAAAAAATGCTCCTTTTGTGTTGTTGTTTTATATGCAGCGCTTAAAAAATGATTCCCACATTACATTTTTTTTTACGGCCCAATAAACTTGAGAGAATCGGACCAAATTGGCTTTTCATATTTAGTGGCGTTATTGGAAAACCTTTTAAGGTGCAATTGCTGACTGAGGCAACGGGCATAGGTGAGGGTTACAAAATCGCCTTGGAGGGACACTGCCGACACTGCCGTTTTTGTCTGCTGCTCAAGAAATGTGAAGCGTATTAAAAGATTTCATTTAATAAGCTCATTTTATTTCACATTTCAAGTTTTTACAATGTGGTTAAAATGAAGAGGGAAATGAGACCATCTGTTTGGCGTTTTGCTTCGCCAACATATGTGATATTCTGATGACAATGATGAGGATGGAAGACAGGAATCCTCTCGTGTACACGAACCGGAGACAAAAAAGGGACTGAATCTTCTCGGAATGAACGCTGAATGAACAGCTCCGCGATGGAAGGGTTGGAAGCTTTCTCGTCCACGAAATACCGAAACAAGGAGCAACACCCAAAAAGTGGCGATAGATAATTCCAGTCTCCAACCTCCTTAACTTGTTTGATTCACAGGCTAACTTCACAAAGCTGGACAAAGGAACTATGAGCCTTATTACTCTCAGACACAAGTAAAACTAGAGAAAAGATTCATATTTCTCTCAGATCATCGTCCACTTTGTCATCTGGCTTATAAAATAATCTCCCTCTCGCTTTCTCTCTCCAGTAGAAAGTTCATGCCACTGCATGTTTGTTTTTTTTCCTCCGCTGGGTTTTTCTTCCCCCGGCAGTGTTGCATGGCATGAGGGCGCACTGAGGAACCTTTCACCGGCTTCATCTGATACCGCTGTGACTGGGCTCGGGAAGCGCGCTACAGGCCAGGACCGACATGCATGGGTTACTAGGTCAAACAAGGAGCTAGTCTTTCGACAGAGTTCGGAGGCTGGGTCAGACTAATGTGATTTATCAATACGCCGCATAAGCGAAGCATTGTCCTTAATGGCCGTGATAATCCCTGAGACAGAGCGTGGAGGACGGGATTGGTCGGAAGGGTTTCAGGGACGGGGTGCTGGTTGTTCTAGGCTTGATGTCTTGATTGGAGCATCAGGAACATGCACCTGTGGATCTCCCCGTGCTCTTTTTCTCACACACAGTGAGGTTTACAGTCGCGGAGGCTCGGCTGACGGGTCCTGGGAGCGTAAAGACAGAGCTCTGTTCCTTGACGCCGGAGCTCAGGCTCAGGTCAAGACTCTGCTCGCTGTAATCCCTCTCAGGTGATGCTGTTCACATTCAGCCGTTTCCAGCTGATCTGCTTAAATATGCCTTCCTCGTCCTTCTAAAAAAGCCCCCCCTCCCCCACCTCCCTCCACCCCAAAATCAGCCTCTCTGTCTCAGATCAGCGAGTCCTCTAAGCGATAGGGTGAAATAAATGAACTCCTTCTGTTTAATGGAAAGAAAAAGTGCTCCAGTCACCTGTATCAACGGGGCCGTCATGTGAGAGAGCCTTAACAGACGCGTCGTCCGTGTGACCTCATCCAAAGGTGAGGGTGGTGAGAGTGGTTTTCGGACGGCCTCGTCACCATCAGGCACTTCATCAACGCATTACGTTGCAGCGCTCCAACATTGACACTTACACCACAAACCTGGGAGGTTGTGGGAGCACTCAGCACAGCGAGGCCGAGTATCCAGGCCGCAGAAAGAGAGGCCACTGGGTTTGAACGAACCTGCCTGCATCCAACCGTGCGTTCAACTTGAGCATTTCCAGATCCTCCAAACCTTTTTGTTATGATACCAACTTCACAAGTGTCAAAGTAGCATTAAGTACGTTTCCACGCTTCTTTCTTGAAGGTCGGCCACATTCAGCATCAAATCCCAAACGTTTTCTCTGTGTTTTGGCATCAAAAGAGTCAACACACACTCCCTCGTTCCTTTGTTGCAGACTGCCGTACGGGGTCAAAAATATCCCGCTTCTCAGACAACCCCCCTCCTCCACCCTCCTCCACCCTGCTCGGCTGCATCACTTTCATCTAATCGCGTCTATCCTTCACAGCACCTGGGAATGCTGTTAAAGCAACACATTACACAGTTGAATATGATCTCAAACACGCTGCAGGCTGCTCGGATTTCATATTTGGGATTTCTGGGCGAAAGTAGAAGGGTTAACGATATCGCATGTCGACTTTTTAAGACTCTCCAGCACTGTTACCCATTAATCACCTGTTTAAATGTCTTGGGGCCCCACTCTGTTCCTCCAAGCAGCATCGGTAGTGGGGCCTGATTTTATGTAGTCAGCAGGTGGCATCATTAGCCAGAGAATAAAAATGAAAAGTAATACCCTTGTGTCTAGCTGTGATATCGCAGAAGGGCTCATTGGCACCATTGCCTCCGCTTCTAGTGGGCAGGACAGGGGTTGAGGAGGTGTAAATTCAATATGTTTTGTCATCTGTTTTACATGGGGGGGGAATACAAAAACAAATACAAATGTGTATGCAAAGATTCAGCAGCGCAGTAGGAGCTCGGGTCACGAAGTGAGTGAAGAAGACAAGATCAGCCCGAAAACCACAAGAAAATCCCAATCTTGACTCCTTCCAGTGAGCCCCGAGTCATACGCAGTGACCGTTTTTCTCCTCCAAATCCCCTTTTTCATAATGGCATCTCCATCCCTGGCACCTCACTCGCCCAACGGGTGAATGAACTTTCTCTCATGGATGTGAAAATTAAGACGAAAGAAAAAATAGAGACATTTGTTGCAACAAAAAAAAAGGAAACGGCTTTTTCACGTGCCTTGGTTTCAGCACTCCTGAGCGTTTTTGTATGGCTCCTGGTGCATGCCAGACTGTGGCTGTGTGTAGAGCTGTCACGGGAACCCCGGGGGGATGGGGGGAGGGAGGGGGGGAAGTGGGGGGCTAGAAAAATATTCAAGCATTTTTGGGCCTATATTGGACAGTGATCTCTTACACGTGCTCCTTTCAATATAACCGTGATAAATAAAGGAAAGAGGCAAATACCAAGAACTTGGCCGGCTGCCACTGCTTCCCTAGAATGGCACTTTTGGCCCAAAGTGCCGTTGCCGGCCCTCCCCAAACACACACATATACACTTCCAACCTCACTGTATGGGCAAAGCCTGTGCATATTTGCATAGGATTAGTTTGACAAGTGTAACATCCGGTCTGAGAGCTGGTGTGGGCGACAGGGGGGGGAGGGGGGGGACAAAGGGGGTTAAAAACGTATAGTCCTCAGCCTGAGGGTGTTCTTGAGGTCAAATGTGTAAGTTAACCTCTTGATCTCATCCCCATTGGTTAGCCCCACCACTCTCTCTCCCCCAATATTACTGCTTGACCATCCAAAGCACCCTCTAGATATAAGCATACCCCCCCCCCCCCCAAAATAAAGATAGATACTACTTGGAAAATGGCATTCCACCTCGCATATACCATCTAAGATCACACAGTCCACCGTGAGAGAAACGCGCAGAGGAGCTGAGGAACGTGTGTGTGCCAGTACCCCGCAGTGATTGCCTGATTATTTGCAGATGGGCAGCGGAGGGCTTGCAGAGTGCGGAGGTTCCCCCTGGCACGCAGCGCATATGATTAAATCTGTGATTGCCTCACAATTTACGAGACCTCCACCTACCCCCTGATTTTAAACGAGTGTTTCTACTGTACGGCCACACTGACGCTGCCGCCCCTCCTATCAAAAAAAGAAAAGCTCCGCGAGTGGTCCACATGTGCGCAATTCCGCGACTCCTCTCACTGTGTCACCGCTGCGGATATTGGCCGTGTGCTATGTCACCAGTCTGCTTGTGTGTGTGTGTGTGTGTGTGTAGAGAGAGAGAGAGCGCGCGGCGGGGGCCACTTTGCTAATCCCACTGTCTCCTCATTCATTGGTAGTGTTATTTGCAAAGGGGCTGATCCCCTCCTCAACCGCCGCGCCTCTGCTGCGCGATTGTTATGCGGGTTTCCTACCAACTGTTCAAAGTGGTTATGAGATCAATTAAAACCAGCTTAGGGGATGTGTGCAACTCATAAGTCAGAGGAAAAGGGTTCCGTATCTATTCACTAAATAACTCCTAACAATGCGAACCCTCCTCCCTTCCCCTCCCCTCCCCTAAGCCGCCAGTTCTGTATAGACCGATACGCACCAGCAGCTTTTTTAGCACTTTCACATGTAAATAATACAGGGAGCCCTTTGTTGGGACCACAACTTCGGGAAGTAGCATTAACAACACGTCTGGCAACGTGGTTTAAAATACAATTAGCCGGTCCAATGACGCAACGTGTTTCCATATTGGCTTTTGGAGAGCCACACGCGTGGCAAATTTTGCGCACATTTTACGCGTTAAGCTACCGGGCTGTGAAATGGTTATGCAACATGGGAGCTCGCATCTAAGAGATTAATATATCATATATGATGCTGCAAGACCACATTGTAGCTGACAATAAATACAATAAACTCAAGGTGAATTTCTGGAATGTTCTGTGTTAGATCCGCTGCATGTTTGTTAATTGAATAAAAACTTTGATTGTCATCAATCTTTTTTTAATGTTGTCCCCCCCCCCCCCCACCCTAAAATTTCCATCCGCTCGGGTCGCACGCGGGCATTTAACAGGATGCGTGGGCAACCTTGTTTAGGACTGTTGCCTCCCGTGACCCACAAACTCTCCGAAAGCCATCTGTTAGAGCGCCGCCACCCCCGCCACCCCCACCCGACCCTGGAGGGATGCTGCTCCTGCAGACCTGCGCGCTACAACCCGGTCTTACCTCTTTTGTTTCTCCTCCAGCGGTGCGACGGCGCCTGACAGTTGCTGTACTCCATACAGTTCAATACGATCAGGGCAAATGAGAAGAGTCGAAACTGCATCTGGACGGCGATCTGTTGGTTCGGACTCCCAGTTAAAAGAAAAAAGAAAAAGAAAAAGCAAGAAAAAAGGTGCCGGCGCGGCTCGGCGTGGATTCGCTGACTTTGTATTGTCCTCTTTCAAGTTTCTTGAGTCGATCCTCCAATGTGTCAAACATCAGACGGGATGCGACGTGTTATCCGGCCGCCGGTCGGGATCATGGTATGGAGCGCGCCGGTCCTCCGGTCAATAAGCGTCCGCTCCGGTGCGCTGCGGGGAGAATGACAAAGGAGGTTAACTTAGATAACAGTGTAATGAAATCAACACCTTCCTAAACAGTGAAGCGTGAGGTGATAAGTAAAGGGGGCGGAGGGGGGTAAAAACAAAAAGCCAAAACGTTGGAGGAGATCACAGATTCGAAGGCGATGCGCGCTGCCCAGACGCCCCTCCACCTCCAACCGCCCCAAAAAGAAACGTGTACCCGTGCGTAATAGTCGCCGGAACGCTCCGCGAAAGAACGTGTCGGTGTGTACCTTGCATCAGAAGTGCAAAATCCGCTCCGGTCCACTTTTAGGTTCCCGCTGAGTGCAAGTGCGGCTCGGCAACATGCAGCATCCCTCTTTTGAGTGAACAAACTTGTGTCTCCAGAAGGGAACAGAGGTCCGAGAAGGAGGCAAACAAAAAGGGGGAAGAAAAAAAAAAGAGATAGGTGGTCTCGGGAAAGGGGTGCGAGGGGATTGTGGGGGTGTCCTCTCCTCCTCTCTGCTAAAACCTTAGATTCCGTTTTACCTGCGTTCCCTCACTGGAACTCCGGTCGGGTTCCGTGTCCCGTGCGCAGCGGTGGAAAAACAAACTCACATGTGTTGCGTGCGTGTTTTTCTTTTTTCCTTTCTGGAGCGGAGAGCGCGGGTCCGCTGAGGCTGCGCGCTGACTTGACTCCCGACTGGTCCTGATGCTTGCTGCCTTTTCTCCTCATATAGAGCCGCGCTGCCGTCACGTGTTGGACCCCTTCTGGTTTTGGACACTGCGCGCGTATTTAAGATGTTGAGGATGACATTTAGTCTCGTCTCCCCTACCACCCCAGCACCCCCTCCCTCCGCCCCCCTCTCTCCCTCCCACCCACCCTCCCCTCTCCACGCACTGCCCGGTGCGAGGTCGCCTCCGGGTCCTAGTGAGTTTTCTGTTAAGGGGATATGAGGTTTGGGCTTTTCGGGACTTTATTTTGAGATAGTTTAACGCCTAGAATATTCCTTTGTGGAAGGTTCATTTAAATTCCTAAGGAAAGTGATTTCTATTGTAGATAAAGAAATAAAACTCGAGCTTGAAGTTCGTCTTTTCGACAATTCTATCTGGTTGAGCTTTCTGCCGCAGAGGATTGGCCCGATTGAATAATTAGAGGTTCGCCAAAAAAGGCAATTATCTACATAATGCGCGTAATGATGTGGCCCCGCGAGTCAACCGTCTCGTCACGCCTCTTCCAACGCGCAGCCTCCTCCTCTACTTCTTCTTCCTCCTCCCCCCTCCTCCCCCTCCTCCTCCCCCTCCTCCACCCCTTAAGAAATCAATGATCATCCTCCGGGAGGCTGGAAGTGTTGGGACGTGAATTAGAATAAAAAGAGCTTCTCTCACGCTGACTCACCCGTGCGACGTCATCATCAAGTTACCTTGCGGGATAAGGACCCGAGAGCCACCCCCACCCCCCCCCCCGTGACGATCCCAACTCAACAGATTATCTGTCACGGTGGTTTTATGGAAGTTAAACACAGTTTGCAGGACAACAATCAGATACAAGTAATTTATTAATATTGTAAACATCAGTATTTGTATTAGTATTGATCGGTGACTGGTCCCCATCCTCGTTAGGATACACGTGGTGAATGTTTTACCCTCTTCAGCCACTAGGTGTGGCACTAAATCTGCTTTTTTTTTCTAAACATGTGTGAATTATATTGGCCATGCCAGTTATTCCTCACCAACACAGTGTTAAGTAAAGAACAGCCTTTCACTGCACCAGATAAAATAATGAAACGGTAATAAGGGATTTTAACCACGTGGTGTTCGGGGGCATCTCAGATGCTCGTTAGACCTCCCCAATTTAACATTTACAGAACGTAATTCTTACATGTTGGAATTAAACTTTTAACACAACATTTAACAAAATAGAAAAGGTTTTTTTATTTTTGAAAAGAGAAAAGATATATTATGCAGGAGGGGGGCCTCTAACAGCACGTGAATAAAAAGGTTGGGACGGTGGTTGTTTGCCCGCCAACCTGTGGTGACCTTTGTCCTGACCTGGTGTGTTATTCATCCGGAGAGCAGTGACTGCGGTCGGGCCGGCTGTCAGCCGCAGGCAGGGCCTTCGGTTTGGACCGCGCTCTAAAACAACATCTTGAGAGTGCCCCGTTAAGGTGAACGTGATAATTTAGGCCGCCGGCACTTTTATTTTTCATGATGTGTCACGGAGGAGGCCGGGGGCCGGTAAACCAATCACTTTATCCCCCCCTCCCCCCGTTGCAGTTGCACATAAGTGCCGGTGACGTCAGCATTCGGATGGTCTGGCTCGGAGCCCTCGGTGCCATAATGGCAATGAGGGGGGAGTTGCTACGTCAGGGATCCAGACCGGATTGGTCTTCGGCGTGGGTTCCTGTCACAGCTTACAAGGTATATATATATATATATAAAAAAAAGATTGGAAAAAAAAAAGTTCCAGGCCACAGCGGTCATCTTGAATCTCGAGGAGAGTTCGGCAAAACCGGGAAAGTTCAAGTTATACTTAGCAACTCCCCACGTTTGCGGCTCCGAAAAGGAAAGAGGCAATTCCCGAAATAATTTAACGTGACATTCACAAACAAAGCTGACGCATTACAGCACACTTTTATTGGCTCGATGGATCTGCCTGCGTCTCACACTAAAAAGGGCCCATTTAGTAACTACTGTGGAGCGTGAAGCGGAAAACCAATATTGACACTTTTACATTTACATTTCTGAGGCCTCTCCAGTAAATCTCCATCTGTTGAAGAAGATCATACGCATTGCCAAAAGCTTTGGAAAAAAATATTACATGGACTTCAAGTTGGGATTGTTTTTTTTGGCTATTGTAAATCTACTTTATGAAAGGACATGAACGTTTAGGTCGCTAATTAATCAAACCCCCCGAGAGCATCATGTTATATGTGTGTCTTTCTTTGGCGTGGCTGCAGACTGGTGACCACCTTCGTCCTTCTCCAGGGCCAAAGAAAACCTTTAGTTCTGCGAAGAGTCGAAACCTCTTGGTGGATACGCAGCTTACGATAATCAATCCTCACACTCCGCTCAGTACGGGTAGGCGGGGACCGAATCCTTAAAGAGGCAAAAACACGTTTGACACGGACGGCACTCTAATAAGATTGTTAATTCAAGCGCCGCACTGCCAACTCCTGGTGTGCTTTTTTCTGAACTTAAACTTTAGAGTCGTAATTGACTGAAGCTGTGAGCGATGTCCTGCGATTGGCTGGACCCCGTCTCTCGCCCCATGTTAGCTGGCAGTGACTGCAGACCCCCCCCCCCACGACCCTGTATGAAGAGGCGAGGCGGCTTTGAAGATGGATGGATGGATGCGAGCCATGTCAGAGATTTATACTTTTTAATCAAGAAATGTTAGATTCCCCAAATTGACACCCTTTTTTGTACTCCTTTTAAGGCCACCAGTAATGAAGTGTCTGGTAGTCTGCTGGCTCCTGTTTTCCAAAAGAGTTGAGAGACAATTCACTTCACTCTGTGATATCGTCTGATACGTGGCCTCCTTTAGTGATGAGCCCAATGAAACAGGTGTATTTCTAAGTACTAATCCTCATTTAAATTAAATTATATGGCAAAAGGCAAGTGAAGGAATGGCCGCCCGTCTGTGAGCAGCACTGAGTCATGAGAAGGTCTGAAGCCCAGAGGAGCGCTGGTCGGGGGGGGGGGGCATTCTAAAGGATTGTGTCCGTCTGGCTCGTGGTTCTTTACGGCTCTCTCGTGCTCTCAGACTGGGAGGATGACTGGCAGAGTGTGTGACCGCGGCTTTCGGCACATCACCTCCGCCTGCCCCCCCCCTCCCTCCCCCCGCCATAAAAGCAACAGACTAAACAGCCATTTATCACCAGGGCGCACGCATGAGCCGCATCGCACGCCGCAACCTCAGCTGGACGCGCACATTAAAACGTCATCGACTGTTACGGACGCGGAAGACCCTCGACCCCCTTTTTGCGATGTCCGAAAATAAGCAAAACATGGGTGGGGGGGGGGGGGACCGTTTTCGTTGGTCCCTTTTATTGACCTGGTGATGACAAAGTGCAAAACGGGCCTTGTGCTTGAGATAAAATTTTGGGGGGGGGGGGGGGGGGAGAGAACCAAAAAAAACAAAAGAAATGAAAAGAAAGAAGCTGTGACTCGATGACTGGGGCGGATCCGTCCTGTTGTGTGGCTAAAATCCAGAGTCCTGACCGGCCCAGTTCGGTGTCTGCAAAGAGAAAGCGTGGAGCGAACAAGGAATTAGACCATTTCTAGATCACGGAGGCCGATCAAAAGTCACTTTGGCTGTGGTAAATGGGGGGAAAAAGGGAGGCACATATGCAAGCAGTTAAGTGGTGACGTTTAGCTGTGAGGGGCTGACAGGGACCCGAAGCCGCCGTCCCAGATGGCAGGCAGTAAATGTTCACTATATGTAAGTGATTTGTAGCCTTGAGGACAGCAGGATGTAATGGTGCTCTGCCAGTGGTTTGCAGCCTCTTTTGTCTAATTACAAAATCCCCTTAATGAGGGGGGAGGGGGGGTGGGGGGGGTTATGGCAGCACTTCTGTCGCAGATATGCAAACAATAGAGAAGGGGGTAAATGAACACATCTAAAGACGGCCACTCGTTGGATTTAACGCGTCTGCTGCGACTCGGTGGCCTCGGGCCCCCCCGCTCGGCTTGCAGCTCGTGTGCTCGGGACTGTGTGTGTCGTTGGGAGTGCTTGAAAAGTCAACATACCACTAAAAACACACACACGGTCAACATCAAAAACACACGTAAATGGGATGACTGGACCCCGAGCCAGACATCTGCAGCAGGTCCTAAGTGCAGGGAACTCCGGGCTCTAAGTGATGTTCACCATGAAGCTAGTGTGAGGGTCCACCTTATTTACCTCGCCGGGCTGAGTCACAGCGCTCAGGCATCAGTTTATGGTTGTTTGGAATCTACCTTGTCATTAGGCCTTTGAAGGGCAATGGTGGGATGAAAGCGGCAGCGCTCTTAAACTTGCTCTTACTGGCTTATTTCGTGTAAAGAGAGCGTTTGTGGATGGTTGGTCATCAACATTCTTTGGCCTTGTTCTGTCGGACACTTTGAACTGCCCTTCGCTTTTTTTCATGGTGACCCTCGAGCGATCTCATGGGCTAAGGGACGGCTGGTCGCTGTCGACCACCACCTGGGGGGGGGGTTGAGTGTGCCTTTCTTTATTTGTACAGTAAGTGCTTCACTTGCCTCGGTCTTGGTGCTCTGGGCCTGCTTCTTCTCAATGTTCATGGCCAACATTTGGCTGCGGAACGAGAGGCTCTTGGTCTTCTCGATCACCTGCTGGTAAGGTGATATGGCGTTGTTCCCCATCACCACATGACCCTGGGAACACGGGCAAAAACAGACAAGAGTTGATCAACGACCCATCAGCCAATCACGGTCAGCCTTGCAGACACGCCATCCTAGAAACACCAACCAGAAGGCTGCTCAGGTCCCGTTCACGTCTACTGTAGGCCATGCAGATAATTCTATGTCATTGTGGAGGACTGAGCTATGATTTGCCGATTACAGACAAATGTTGTGATGTCTATGGCAAAAAAGGCAGGTTCAGAGCCTCACAAAGAGGACCCCAAAAGGGTGAGACATTATTACATTACAGGTCATCTAGCTGACGCTCTTACCCAAAGCGTCCTACATTGCATTTTTAACCCATGGCTTTTACATTTTTGCCCTTAGGGGGGGCAACTAGGGGTTAGGTGTCTTGCTCAGGGACTTTGACATGGGACATGGAGCAGCCGGGGCTCGAACCGCCAACCGTGCGGTTGCTAGCGCAGCCGATCTACTCCGTGCGCCACCGTCGACCCATTATGGATACAATGTCCTAACAGAGTTCCTTTCAATTACAAAACCAGCACAGAAATAATGTCTCAATGTCTCTTAACCCACTGAAGCCTCAGAGGAGGTGCGTCTAAGAAGGGCCGTATGTGCCACCGTGTGGGAGAAATTAGTCAAGTACCAAGGACACTGGCTGAGAAGGAAGCAGGAAGGGCTCACCAGCTTGGAGTCAATCTTTGCGTCCAGCCTGGCGTTGCGGATGAGATTGACGATCCATCTCTCGGCGTCCTCGGGGGTCATGTTCAGTTTGTCCGCCAGCATGCTGTGGAGGAAACGGAGAGACGTGACACTCTGACCTGCACATACGGCTGCCAAAAGGGTCGAAACACCGAATATGAAAAGGAATAAAAGGAAGTAAACACCAGAACTTCTGGTTTACGTCAGATACTCGAAACTAGTCAGCTTCAGCTGTGCGAACACGCTTAACTAAGATGTAATGCTTCAGCATGCTGACACAAGCATTAAAGCAAAAGCAAATAAACCACCCCACACAAAGTGAAATGACTACTGCAGAGTACTAGTAGACTACCTATCTCTACCTACGTAACTGGGCTGCTGTCTCAAAGTGTTCAGGCAAGCAGTGCTCTGCGTCACCATGGACGACGAGTCATTATTTGCTATAAAACGCGGCAGGGAGGTGTACGACTTACTAACTTAGCCTTTATCTCACACGCTCCCCCCCCACCTGGCTGCTGACACGATGGCCATGGAGCGACTGTCCTCTAGGGGGGTGAAGCGGCCCGCGCTTTATTACAGCTCGACCTGGATGCGTCACAGCAGAAGGGGGCTTTGATCCACAGCTCTGCCCACTGCAGCTGGCTTTCCTTGTGGCTTTCAAAATAACTAGATCCTCACTCGATTCTCCCCCCCAGACCCCACGCTTCCTGCCCCCTTCCTCCTGTCTGACCCCCACCACCCTCCACGCCGACCGCATTTCATATAAGGGCCCCAATAAATACTACACCGACCCTCTGTGCATTGCCCTCTATTACCAACGCAACCATACCTCTCATCTCAAAAGCAAGAGACCCCTCCCTCTGCTGAACCCCCCCACTATTTTACAGACACTTAATGAAATACTGGTGTAGTACCAAATTTGTCATAAAGGAGTTATAAGGCCTATAATAATAGAGTTCACTCGACTAATGATCACTTCCTGTTCCATTCATCACATCTTGTGAGACTAAAGCAGGAATCTGCCCCCCCCCCACTTGTCCCACCATGGCCCTGCAAACACGGACCATGTCTTACAACATGCTTTGGGTGGAAAGTAATCCTTGGGATTTGTGATAATGTCTCACAAAGACTACCACTTTCTAACCCATGACGGCTGGTATATTGGGGGGGGGCGTTCGCTCAGCACAGTGAACCGAGCAGGTCTTTGCTCTGCAGGGGACGGCATCCAGCAGGCCGTGGATGCGGAGGTGGAGAAGCACCGTGTGTGATGTTGAGTCGTGGGTTGATTCAGGTCATCAGAACGGGTGGGTTGGGGGTGGGGGCGGCGAGGGGGGGGGGGGGATAAAATTGCTCCTACGGATCATTAGAGGGAGCCCGACAAGTGTAGTCCGTCTTGTGACGCGGGTTTAGGTCGTGATGGATAACACATGCCTGCCATCACAGAAACACGTCACGGACTTCAGCCTAAATGTTGCTAATGGAGAGTAATCTGCACATTTACCAACGGGTACTGGCTCAATTAACTAAAGATTTATACATATGACGCCATCCGAAACAGCCTAAACTACTGCATCAAATACTCCCACAGAGCCGAATCAACGACACAGTCAAACCCCGGCTGCTAGAAGCATCAGGAAAATATGCTGATATATATATATATATATGTCATTCGTATGTTCATATGTCAACCGTTTATTGCTCTTCAACAGTGCAGAGCTACAAAAACAATAGTCACTCGCTGAGAGGACACCCCTCCCTTATTGACCTAACAATCAAGTAATCCAGAGAGGTCTGTCAGCGGTCCCTGGTTTGCCCGCGTGATTAAGTGATTGCTGCGTCGGGGTTCTGGGTGTTTTGTTTGTCAATTCAGTAAAGTGGGGGCGCATGTCAGTCAAGTCCAGGTCACATGTGATGATCGAAACAAACACGGTCTGGTTTCCTCGCCGGGCGAGTGGAGGCGACCCCTGACCCTTCATAAAACATGATTGGCGCAGCACAACACAGGAACCCCTCCCCCTCAGTCCCCCCCAACGAGAAGGCACCAGGGCCGCGGCCCGTACCAGCCCGGGTCCTCTAATTCAATTCATAAAAGAAAGTCTGGCAATGTTTTCTGCCCCGGAAGAACGTAGGGGCGCTTTATCGCATTGTCTGTGTGAGAGGTGTGGGCCGGTTACCTCAACCCTAGTGGGAGGGGGGTGACAAGAGGGGGGGGGGCGGACTTCTACAACCCACAATATTGACATCCTGTGGCCTTTAAGCCAGGCAGACGGCCTCCACGGCTGGTTTTATTTTACACAACCACGATTCTGTTCCTCGAGGGGGGGAGGTGGGGGGGGGGGATCACTTTCGCTTCGACCCCTTGCTCTCTGTGGCTCCTAAGCCTTCGACTCCTTTAGGGTCTCAAGCTCACACTTGAGGAGAGGGGTCAGGGCGTTGGGATCTAACTGTTAGAGGAGGATCCCTGTCAAAAGAAGCCCCCCCCCCGCTTTAACATTGCTGGCCTACAATGAGTGCCCTGTTATAAACGCTAGCATGTGAGGGTCTTGTTTTGAGACACTCCGAGCCCTTTAGGGAAACCTCGCCTTCAACTTGGGGTTCAAATTGATTTTTCGGGAAAAACCGAAAATGATCGCGTGGTCTTTCTAATGACTAAATTGTGAGGTGGAAAGATCCTGAGTGGAGCATCCAAACACACAAGACACTGCCTCCAACCAACAGTGAACTCTGTGTAAAGAAACTTTTTTTCGGAGTTTTCGGTGGAAAAACTGTCCAAATGATCACGTGTCTCAAGCCTTTACTCACAATGTCAAGGGACAAGTGTGCACTGGAGGTCAAAGCAGGGTCGTCGCCATTGGATACGTACATCGGACAAACGTGGAAGGGGTGCTAAAGGGGGGTAAATTGGAAACACACTCGGGACACTGAGGAGTCTAGACCAATGCGTGCGTGCGTGGAATCACAGTTCTACTGCCTACAGTACATTCTACATAAGCCGTTACTGCATAAAATAACTCAATTACGCCAACTTCTGGTCTACTTTTGTGTCCCACGCCGAGGGCAAAAGGCAAACTAAAGATCTGTGAAACCATCACGGCCAACGGCCTGTAAAAATATCCTCATTAAAAACAGCCATCAAAATCATTGGAGTCCACGCTTGGGCGCAGAGGGCTTCTGGGTAGAAGACTAATGACTTTAAAAATAGACACCGCTCTGTCCAGCGTCATAACGCCACCAAAAATAAAAACAGAAAATCCAGAAGAACTGCCCGTAATTGTGCGTTTGTCCTTCAAAAACCTCAAGAAAGAAACAAAGAAACGGTAAAAAGTAGGAACATCTCTGTTCGACTTCCTGTTTCTGTGCTACTACAAACTTTTGTGGTCCTTAACAAGTAAATGGATCCAATTGCAGTAAGTCTGCCAAAAAGAACCCGGAGTCTTAATCAATTCCAGACAATCTGCAACTTGAGATTTGGACACGGCCCGATCATGTTGCTCGGTTCAACCTTGACTACAGACCTCCGTGTCGCCGTCGATGGCGTCACTTCCGCGTGAACACCAGTAATCCCGTCCCGCTTCCCAATCAGCATCACGCGCTCGTGGAGCGTGACTGTGAACTGTGAAGTGGGGAATCTGTACTGCAGATGAGCCAAGAACAAACGCCTGCGTTACTGGGTGTCAAGACATTGGATATGGCACCGAGATACAGAGATGGAGATCAATGGTCGGGACGGTGAGTGTCGTTATCGTTGTCGCTCTCGGAAATTGATGTCAAGAAACGGACAAATCCTATAATGTCTCTTCACAGTGGATGATTACCATCATCCTTTTCGTTTCTCCCCCCGCATGCTGTAATTAGTATTGACAATAGTTTGTGCTTTTTGGAGAGCGTCCATTGTCAATGATATAAGCAAACTTGAGTCAACGGGAGACGTGCGAAACCCTCCGACCCCCGTTTACCCAAAGAAAGGGAGGCGATAGTTGTGCCTTTCCCAGCAGCTGGGAACGTCTAAAGCCGCCCCAACCCCGACCTCTCCCCGGGAGAAAGCGCTCCACGCATTGGCCCCCGGGCAGGTGGTCTTAGAAGTGGAGCAACCTGTGGAGACCTGAAAGCAGTTAAACCTCACAATAGTTAATCCCCTTAAAGATGTGTGGGGTCAGCGCTGGCCGAGTGGACGGGGCAATAAACACGTATCTCACAAGGCAAGACTCCACTCGTCACACAGCCCGTGCTCTTACTTCCTGTCTGTCTTAGAGAGACGTGCGTCGGCAGCGCGGGACTCACCTGATGCTGATGCACTGGTGGATTCGGCAGAAGGTCTCAAAGATGAAGAGGCGGGCGTTCTCGATGAAGTCCTCCAGGCAAGCGACCAGGAAGAAGTCGTTGACCAGAACCTAGGAGACAAGAGTGCGTTGGGTGAGGGCAGCGGGAATACTATGCAGAGGTTACAGGTCCGCCTCAAAGCCGCTCTGACAGCTGTTTGAGGTTTGAGTAGACGGGGAAAACAAATAAATAAATTGGTTGGTTGGAGACGCAACTGTCAATCAGTCCGTCTGTGGGCATTCGTGCCCTTTTCAATTGCGTGAACAAACCCGATAGAGCGGGTCTTTTCGCCCGTCTGCGCCTTGCACCGCCTGTGGCTTGTTGTGGTGAGAAACGCAGCCTTCGACGCCGCTGCATGTGGCCAATTCTTCGGCTGCAACTGCCCGTGACCCAGCTGTGGCCCCGGACGCACGGCTCGTGTGAAACGCTCCCCTTTCTCACCGCATTCCAACTCTCCGCCGAGGGCCGTCCCACATCGCAGGCCTCCGTCTTCAAAGGCGCTGGGAGATGTAGCCGCTCTTTGTTTGCTCGGGCAGCCGCTATCTGCCCAGAGTTCTGCTCAGATGAATCCCAACTACATGGCGCTATCGGATTGGGCAATGCCCATTTGGGCTATGACAACATTTATATAAGGCTGATAAACTTTGAACACTTAAGTGCCCTAATCACTGTTATCTGCGATTCAGACCACAAAGCTCAAACAAGTTGTGAAAAGGGGCTTGAAGAGCCCTTCAATGCTGCGGCCTGAGCGCCCGGCTGTAGGTAGACCTCTACATTGCAATCTTGCACATGCAAGCATCCAACATCTGACAGCGGTTCCACATTTGGGTGGTGGGAAATACACAAAAAGGGAAAAACCTGCTCAGCCAAGGACCATTTAAACCAAGCTAAACCCATTTGAAAGCACTTGTCTCAAACCGTTACCCACAATACGCTGAACTCCAAGACAGGACAGGGTCAAAATTGGTGCATCACTGTTGATGTCTTGGACTGTTCATCAAGACGAGAGCCCACCGCAAACGACGCGATATTGGGAGGGGCTCCCTGGGCCCCAGCATTGCCGACTTCAACCAGGACCATGAAGGTGCCGGTTATTGTTTGTGGAACCACCCACCTCGCTCGACCTGAACGAGGTCAGCGGGGGTCTTCTGTGCCGGCTGGACGCGCTGCGATAAGACTGACGCGCTAAGAGGCGCCTGGAATAACTCTGAAAACGCGTCCAACAGGGACGCTGATCGAGGGCGTGTCCCGTCACAGCGGAATTAGGACTCTTACTTTATTATTGTTGATGGCACCTGTCGTCATTTAGAGATGGGCCCCCGGGGGCCTTTGCACAGGAGGAATCTAATGTTTCTCATGCTTTGAATTTTTCCCCGACTACAAACAGATTTTAAACCAATTATCCCCAGTGAGTTTTATTTTAGCCTCCTCATTTGTTAAATGGTGATTCAGGAAGTCAAAGACTCTTTGGATTAGATTAAATAAGTTAAAACGAAACGGAACCGCCAGTAGACCGCTGACATGATTTCTACATATTTACTCCTGGGAAGGAGCCATTTGATCGGGCCAGATGTTTTTCATTTTGAAGGTTTATCGTCAAGAGGAAAAAGATGAAAAAGGGGGCCAAATAACCTACCTTCCAAACATTCAAGTCCGTTGGGGAAACCCAATTACAGCGAGTACTCAAGAGGATGAACTACGTGATCAAGTTACAAAAATACGAATATAGGACAACACCTGCTCCCTCTCTAGAACTCGTTACGGTTTACTCTCCTGAATCTGACTAATATAAATAATAAATAATATAATAATAAATAGGAACATTTCTGCTTTCTGTCGACATTTCAAACCCTGGATGGATGCTAACAGTTTACCTGTAGGGGGAACTGAAGGGTGCGCACGAGGCTTCTGCGGTGACTTCACGTCACTAGATTTGAATTCGGCAAATAGTTCAGCGTTTCCCCTACTATTATATTGGAGGGGCTCCTTGGCCCCCAAAAAGGCACCCGTCCAAGACAAAGAAAGTCTCAAAGGTTATGTTATCAATTTTGCACTGCTCTCTGCACACACACACACACACACACACACACACACACACACACACACACACACACACACACACACACACACACACACACACACACGTTGGTGTCCCTGACGGTCCGTACTGTAGTGCTTTGCTGCTACAATAACAAGCAGATTGTTAAATACAATCAATTGATTTGCAAGTTTATCACATGAACTTCCTCATTTGAGGTCACAGTAACTGATCCAATCAAATTGATCAGCGAGTGATCGGCAAAGTAGTAAACACTCAGAGGAGTTTTATGGTTGACTCATTCGATTCCCACATCAAGAACCACTTCTTACATGCAGCCATTACAAACTGGAATTGAAATAAATGCTCTAAAAGGGCAAAGCGAGTGTCTGGACGCCTCCGCAGAGACTTCTGCTTATAAAGCTTTTACTGTTAACTACCAGGCTGATGGGTCAATTACAGGCCGTAGTAAAATCTGACTGCAGCCTGAGTCACGCCGAGACCTCTATATCTGCAGTGGGATCGGAACAAGTCAGACAGGTCAGACAGGGATCGCATGATGACCAACGATGTTTACTACCACGCGGGACCAAAAGATCAGGAGTCTGACCTGTGAATCAAAAGGTCCTCAGAAGACCTCGGTTTGGTCACGGAGAGGCACAACAAACCACGAACCAAACACTTTTTTTGGGAACGGTGGGAGAACAAAAGGTCAAAATGTATTTTGGCGAGGTCACGGAAGGGGGTTTACTCACCGACTCACACTCCCGGAGTTTCTTCTGAGCACTGTCGAAGTCAAAGTTCACGTACAGGCACTCCACAAACTCGGTGATTGGATCCTTGTAGGTGTAAGATTCCTGGAAAAAAATGAATTGGAATACAATGAAAATCAATCCACGTGCTACAACACATCAATACGATGATTAGGTCGCTTAGCTTAAGTGTTTGTGAGGACGCCAATGTTGAGTATAATACAATGTATAAAATACATCTGGACACAAACGGCCTGAGCAGGGAAGAAAGTGTTAGCAGAGCCATTGGGGGACGTGGTCAGTAAGCGGCCTTTGACCTTTGACCTTTGTAAACACAGAGGGGAGCCGACACAAAAGCGGTGCGTTACCTGCTGGATGACCTTCACCAAGTCCTTCAGGACCTGCCGACGCTTGCGGACATCCTTGTTTGTAATGATCGCTGTGGTCAGGTAGCGCAAGATGTGCGGGCACATCGTCTGGATGGCGTTGAGGTATCTGGAACGAGGGAGGATAAAGATGATCATTTATCGTGCCGATGTGAGTGAGGACGTGATCTTTGCAGAGGACACATAACGGAACAGTTTGGCTTCCCATCGGCCTTTAGAACAGATAAATGTCCGAACAGGACCCTGACTCCTGCACGTGGGACCAAGCATTAAGCCATCTCTTTCATTAGTGTCCTATGAGAGGGAGGTGGAAAAGGAAACCACGGCAAGAAGATATAGATCAGTGAGCAGGGACCAGCCCAGGAGCTGAAACCCAATCCATCAGGGACTGATGTTTGAACCACAGGTCAACTGGCTGAGGGCTGAGCACAAGAGACGGGACGCTGTTACAGGCGCATTCTAATCCCAACTCTGGAGACAAGTCTGCTTGTGCACACACACACACACACACACACACACACACACACAAACACACAAACTTTCCCCGTCAATCAACATTAAATGTAAAACCAAAACTCCTTATTGGTTTCTAAATGTCTATCTTTGAACTTTTACCTCCAGTGCACCCCAAATTGACCAAAACTCAATCTGAAAAGAGGAAGTGCAGCGGGCCCCTTCAGGTCCTCAGCAGCCGAAAGCCAGAGGAGCACATGGTGTTCAGGGAAAGAGCAGCTTAATTAGCTGGAACCATTAAAGGGACAGGGGACCCGTGGCAGTGGTGATGTCGGCTCTCCCTCTGCCCTTTGTAGTTGCTTTCCTACTGTGTTCCTGATTAACTTACACCTACTCACTCTGGGCGGGGGGGGGGGGGGGGGGGGCCGATAGCAAGCGTTCACCCAACTCCACTTAGGGGATTTCATCTTTTTTTTTTCTCCCCTCTTTTCAGTAGTGCTGCTGCTCGGTTTGTTGAGGATGCTACTGAGGCACGCAGCCCAAAAACAAAACATCAAGCACTAGTTCAGATTCCCTCTGTCCGACGGGGACGGTGGGAGAACATGGAAGCAGGACACGGTAACGGGGACCCGTTTCACAGCTCATCTGGAAAAGTGAAGTACTGATACTAGACAATCAAGTGACTCGTTCTATATTTGCCCAGTTTGCACTTGCAACATACTCCGTCACCGGGCACCCCCCCTGCCCCCCCCAAAGTCAGTGTTTGTCCATACATGAATTTGGACCAACATCTGCTGACTGCGAGGGTTGGGGAGGTCAAATGTGGAGCTGAAGAACAGCCGCTGGTCGCCGGCTTCAGCCAAAGGAAGTACTGACCGTCAGAGGAGGGGAAACGAGAGCCAAGCCTCAGCGGGGAAAACATGAGGTTTCTCCACTGTGAAACTGCAAAGCACACAAAACTACCTCAGTTTGTCCACACAGATGTTTGGGTGAGCTGCTCAGGGGTAATTGTTGGGCAGGCCTCCTTAATCATCCACAATAAAATTAAAAACTAAGTCAAGTTCAGGGAGCCAGACATTTGGGTGCGCTGTGTTGTGGTCCCCTGCTAGGCCGTATGCGGAGGCCAATCATCTGTACAATTATACAAGCCTGCAATCAGAACGGGGGCGGGGGGGCAACGCCATCAACATAGGCGGTGTGCAAATTTTAACGCAGTGTATAAAGTTTCCAATCTGCGATGCACATGGCCTTGTTCTTAACTGGGAGAGTAAACAGACCACACAAAAACACACACTTCTGAAACCACTCTAAGAATACGAAGTTCGTGGAGAAGAACCCAGAACCAGAGATGCGTTAGGAGAGCAAATGTTTTCTCTCAAAATCATGTCCTAAAAATCCCCTTTTCTCAGAATCATCACAACTCCGTTTATGATGTAGTACCACTCAATACAAATCAATATGCATCAAAGGTTTGCAACATCAAAACCACTCACATTCTTCATTAAGCAGAAACATGCATACAAATGGTCACAATAGAGCAGCAAAAGCTGCTATAGAGAATCTGTCGATTATAATGTGGAAGGTTTTGGGCAAAGACAATATATACAGACTTCCTCTGGATTTGAAGGTTCAGTTGAGTCAAATTGTCTGGATCCTCCGTAACCCTGACGGAAGCGTCTATTATGTATGTCCATGCCCACACTAGACGCCCAGGACCGGCAGCAGGCACCGTTCAAAGCTCTTATTTTTAAAAATTGTTGGTACCAGGTCCTTTTACTCAATTATAAATTTCCACTGGCACCCACTCAACGTACGCTGGACGGTTGGACTCGTCGTCGTAGTGATGTCCCGGGGCGTGACATCACTACGACACACACGCTGTGTGTTCTCTCGCTGGATGCTTTCATCTGCACCCAAACAGACAAAAGTTTGTAATCTGACGTCGGGTTTGCAGGACGCCAATATATTAAATCTTGGCCAACGGTATTTACGAAAATGCGGTCGCCATCGATGACAGCTTGGCTCTGTAAAGAAGAACCCCACGTGTGACCATTTTGTTATGCTCGAGTTCAAGCTGGGTCTCTGCTCGGCCTTTCACTGCACCGCGATGGGCCGACAGACACGAGGCTCCACCGAACTACAGACCTTTGCCCTTCCTGTTGCCCTTTGCTTTTATCTTTACAACTGCTTTCAGGTGTTCTCTTCAATGTTTTGCAACTTCCTGGATGTCAAAGCAAGAAACTAAACGATGACATGAACGCTACTTACTGCGGCTGGTACAGGAAGAGCTCAATGATGTTGTCTCTGCCCTTGGGGTGGTTAAAGAAGACAAAGAGGGACCAGTGAATGAGCCATGTCCTCTGCTGAAGGGCCTGGAGAGGGGAGGTGACGGACTGAACGGGACAAAGACAAAAGAAAAGGAGGGGGAGACGAAAGAGAGGGAGGTGAAAAATAGATGACGGGTAAGAAAATGTAAGTGCTGTTTCATAAATGGAAAACAAGCATCGAACATACAGCCACTTCATACTCATATCAAAGTTCTTAAGTAGTCAGACGAGTGTGTGAAAGTGAAACATCGATACGAGAGGCCGTGTAAGGGACTCTAAATGTGGTATCAAATTCATAGCAGTGGGGCATTTACGTTGTTATCGATAGTCTCTCTCAGGCGGGTGAGGTCCTCCATGGCTGCCTCCCAGTTCTGCATCAGGATCTCGGAGGCCAGCTTTCCCCACAGAGAGTTCAGGGCATTCCTGTCGGTAGCTGGGACCTTGGGAACAGGCACGGTGAGCAGTTAAAAGCGGACGCACACGGCAACACACTGAACAACGCCGTCCCTACAGCGGTTTGGCACACACGCGCACACACGCACACACACACACACACACGGGGGGAGACCGGGCCACTGCTATTATTTGTACTGGATGAACAGATTCAATTTTTGACAGCAAAAGAGACATGGATCATGAAAGACTGTTTAGCTTGAAATAAAACCAAATTTGCTGCACTTTGCCAGGTGACCATAGAGATGGTTTGCTAGATTACGACATTAAGCAAAGACACATTTGGAGCATTTCGTTTTGAATAGTTTGGTAGAACTAAGAACACTTTGGTCGAAGTTGAGTTTGCTTCAGAGAGAAATGCTGTGGTTCCTCCAAACTAATGGCGGATCAGTAAAGAAGGACCTGGAAGGACCTGGAATAGCCGCATCGCAGGCTAGTAGATGCCCTTATTTACAGCAAGCATCTGCAAAGGCCATTTGTCCGGTTTGCAGTAAGAATATACCAGCTATTCCATATTATATATGGAGTATTTAACACCAACAAAAATCAAAAAGATATCAACATTCCACACCTGAAAAACCCAAACAACAAACATTAGATTGGTGGAGCGGACTCACACAGGACTGGTAGTAAAACCTGCAACAAACCCAGGACAACCTCCTGATGATACGCTTTTACTTGCATGCATAATGTTGGTTGTTGAAACAATGACCCTCTCCTACCTAAGATTAAGATAATGTGCGGTTTGCTTTAAAGTTGATGCTCCACCGCCGCCCACCGGAGTAGCAGACTGATTAAAAGACTAATCACTCACAAAAAGAAAAATGTCACAAGCTACTGCTTTCTGATTTCCAGAAGAGACTGAAAGACAAACAAAAAGAAAGGATCAGATAATGAGGCACAGGTTGCGAATGGATCACGAGGGACGCGGCACACACACCCCGGGGCTCCTGGGAAACTCTGCGCACAGTAGTTCACGATAACACCGACACCAGACGCAGTGACATGAGTCAAGCAGGAAGTCGGGGGGGGGGGCAGAGAAACACAGATCCTAACCCCTCAACCCCCCCGAGAGGGCTGTGAGACACGACAGGCGTACAAGTGGAGGAGACACCAACAAAAAAAAAAAGGTTTCAGCTGGAATGTCCCAAATTGGTTATGGATGGAGAGGAATTTCTTTTTTTTATTTTAGTATGCAAATAGCGGTTAATCTGATGATGATAAGATTTATTTAGGAGATCTCCCGTAGTATTGCCCCTAAAAGGAGAACAGAATAAGCCCATTCACCCGGTGGTTTTTAATGTAGAAGTAGATCCCATTATGAATGTTTTTTTTTTTTTTTATTTAAGTGGAGAAATCCCGAGAGAGATCAGCATTGTAGCAGAGAGAGAAAAAAACATTTGCTCCACTGCCAGTATGAAAAGGTCAGCAAAAGTGTTTTGTTTGTTATTTCTTCCCTCCTTTCTTGGAAGTCCCTGCCTGCTACGTTGGGCTGACCTTTAGGTCATTATGGCAACTTTACGCGCACACACACACACAAGTGGCCACGCTAGAAAAGTTTCAGTACCTGGGTTTTTCCAGCAGTTACCTTAAGTTTCCATTGGTTTGTGAAATGGGCACATTTTCGCTGACTGACCAGCAACAATAAATTGACTGTGCTGGGGATCCGTCGGGATACTTAATCTTTATTCTTAACATTCAATCCCTGCATTAAGTGATGATATGAATAAGTTGCTCTTTTCGACGGTGCCGAACTGTAACCAGACCTGAGGAATGGATTTTGCAAGGCTGGCTTCCTTCGTTTAATTGACTGGCTTTCCCACGTTAGCGGGCTTTATGGAGCCTCACCTCTCCCATGCGGGGGAGGGAGCGACAGACAAGGGGCCTGTGAGGATGGGAGGTCCACAGAACACCAGAAAGAGGGGAGGAGAAGGGGGAGGCACACAGACTCACGCTAATGAAATCCATTTCTAACTCTTTAACATCTAAAAAAAGCTATTTGCATTGTCAGGAGTGAGCAACAGGGATGTAGTTTCAGGGTGTAACAATTAAGGGGTGAAAATAAATCAATGTTGAATTTTAAACCGCATGCAACAACTAGAGCAAGTTGGGTTTATTCAGAGTGAATTGTTGGAACAGTGGGACCCGTTCCCTTGCAGGCGGAAAGCTTGGCTGAATTATCTGTCATGCCGGCTCGGATGTTGCTCTTCCTTCTCCAGACTCGAGCAGATCAGCGACAAAAAGCCATCAAATGAAGTGCCCGACTGCTTCGGGTTAAGAGGGTTGTTTGCGGCGGGCGGGTCTCATCACCGCTCGCAGCCGCTGCCAAGTCCGCGAGGACGTGCACGAGCATCCGGAGTCAGCGCCGTCCCGGAGACGAGAGGCGACGCGGCATCAGATGCCAATTAGGACAGGAACAAAAGCCCGCTGTCATGAGCGGACCACATGTTGAGCCGACGCTCGCCCGCCCTTTTTTTTCGGGGGCTGGTTTTGGCCCGAGCGAAGGGTTTTCAAACCGCGGAGCTAAATGCCGTACCGAAAGGCAGGTTTTTGACCACAGAGCTAAATGCCGTACCCAAAGGCAAACAAAAGCGGGAGGACGAGTGAGTGACGCCTGGAAACCGCTGGCCATGCGGGCTGGTTCCACTGGTTATTACGGGACGCTCGGTTGGGCTGAATTAACAAACACTTGATGCAAGATAACATCGAAGGAGTCAAAGGGGAGCTGAATTTGGGCTGGAAATGTGGTGTTATTACAACTGGAACAGTAATCTAAGTAAACAAGGGGTTAGCTGGGCGCTTAAGGATGGCCTACGTGTGACCTTGGGGGGGAGAAAGCGAAGGCAACAACTGACGCCCGCCAGGCGCTGGAGCTAACGAGGGAACCACCTTGGATACGGAGCCGCCGTGTAGTTCAGACCACGTGGACGCCGCACAGCGTCCAACTCGACGGCCGAGATGCGCAACGTGTGAAAAAGTCCAGGGGGGGTCAATTTATGGCCCAAACTTGTGGAGCCGTTGCGATTGTTTTTGACAATTCTCCCCAGATAAAAATGATGTACTTCAACATAATGACAATTCAGTTGATAAAACAGGAGCTCGACACCTGTTGTGGAGCCGGTGATTCAGAAGGTGTCAGTCGACGTCCTGAATCTTCATTACAGCCGGTTTCTTGTGTGACCTCCAGACAAAAGGCGCTGCAGACACGTAGCGCGAACCGTCAGGTCTCTGCTCTTTGCTCATATTCATTTCACATTTTCTGTACCGGACTTAACAGTTCAAATTCACACACATTTAACAAACTAGAACCATTAAGAAAATAAGGGCCACCTTTTACACAATTAAAGCACCACTATATCCAAATGTGGCAAAACTCTTTATTTCTCACGGCCGCTGTGAGATGTTTTAAGTCTTGTAACACCTGAGTAACCAATGATCGGTCCAATAACCGACATCACCTCATTTTAACATGCTTTTCCGGAGCTGCACCTCCTTTATCAGCTTCCTAGTTCACGTTAAGCCACAACGGCCAGAACCCTGGCAAAAGATCTTGGTTTATAGACGAAGACCACTGACTACAATGATGTGCTTTTGCATCAATATTGTACACACGACACAATTCTTTGGATTGTATCCTTTTTAGTTCTGCAAAGAAATCACCCCATGATGGGACACGCGTGCGCGGCACCCCTGAGAACCGCCCCGCTAAGCGGCGCGTGGAGCTCTGGGTGCTCGCGAAGAGAAGCCTTGCATAACTTAAGCCCAGCGTAGACTCAAGACGTCGTGACTAGGGACTCGCTGGCCACAGCACTCCAATCAATAAGCTGTCTGCTGAAGCACACTACAGACAGATTATGCAGTCCGGTCACTTGGCCCAGTAAAAGAGCCTCCTCAAGTCTTGGCCCCCCCCCCCCCCACCTCACAGAAATACCAAAGACGTGCGGGGAATTGAACAGGCAAAACGACGTCACCTTTTCATATTCAATTACTTCTAAGTGTTCTCCTCCTACGCCTCGGGCCGTATGAGGAATTAAACATAATGTGATGTTCAATCTTTAATATGTCATGGAGATGCCTGGAGCCAGTATATAAATGGGGCCGGGGGGGATGGCACCGTCACTCGGTTAAGGGAGGCGAGGCGTTATCAGCATCAACATCCTCGCTCCACGAACGGCCGGCGTTGGGAAAAACTCACCAAGACGCGGAAGAAGTAGAGGTACTCTGCCGCTCCGGAGTAGTTGCCGCACTCGTACTGGAACTTGGCGTATCTGTACAGCGTGTCCAAGTACTCCTGACGGAACTTCAAAGGGAAGACGAGAGTATCAGTATCACAAACAGAGAGACTGTTGTCAGGTAGAATCTGAACCATACATATTTTGAAAACAAATATTGGGCCGGCTCCGTAATGTCGTGCAGCTGTGGCGCTGAAGGAAATCCCTGAATATTGTGTCATGCATATAATTCTAATTTATATACAGCGTACTGTGTCATAAATATGTTTTGTGGGTTAGGGCGAGTCATCCTCATCATTACTTCTCAAACATCTGGGTTGCATCGGATACATTTCGAGCCATTGTAAACCAAATTACACCTCCAATTTTTCATATTTATTTGTAGTCGTAACGCAATCTCCCCACAATATTTCACTTTTGGGAACGCGCAGCCAAGAAGCGATGGCACGAACGACATCAAACGAAATACATTTAAATGTATGGACGGCTATCCTTTTCAGGCCTGCTCGTCTTCCTGTGTTTAACTGCCCCGGTACCTCGCGGCACTGAGCACCGACCCCAGTAGAACTGGAGCTGTGTGGCGGTGCAATGAGAACAGCGAGCGTGTCAGCGGGATACCGGAGTGGGTGGGGCGCAATGGCAGGGGAGGGCGAGGAGCCCAAACATCCCGGTAAATATAGCGCCTCCGGCATTCTTGCGGCTCTGTCCACGGTCCCGAGTGTTTATTCTTAACAGGCCACAACAGAATGTAAATGTCCGCAGAATTTGTGCTAGCCGTACAAACCCCCCCTCCGAAAATGAGTTACGGGATTTTTCTTTTTGGGAAGTAGCCGCTGTGCATTTCCCTGCTCGGCCGGCCCATCCCACTTCGCCCCTAAAACAACCGCGGGTTCACCCGAGAGCCATGAGAAGCGCAGAGAAGGAGAGAGGTGTCAGCAGATCAGCCCAACTTACGTTATGCTTTTCGGCCAAGTAGTCAAAGAGCATTCGTCCGTCTCTGCGGGAGAAACAAAAGGAGGACGGTTAGAAGCCGTTTGGCTGACATCATGGCGCTCAGTCCCATTCAGGCACATTTTCTCCACCTCTGGTCTCAGCGGTACGTGAATGACGACCATCCAGAAGACATCTAAGTGATGTCTGGTGAGGAAAGGTGCTACTCGCTCCTCTGCACAGCCTTGAAGTAACTTCTGTGTCTGCTTCCATGTTCTTTTTTATAGTGTGTGATGTGTTTATTGTTACGTGAATCTCACTTTTACAGCTTCAGCAAGTGAAAAAAAACACACACACACACACACACACACATATATATCTTATATTTCACTTTCCACTTGCTACGAGATTCAGATGAGTCGGCTGCTGAGCTCCGATAAGTGGCAACGGTCAAGGCGCCATCGGCAACATGTTTCCCATTGTTTTAACAAGTCCAAACAAATGAGAACATGAGTGTGTCTTATAATGCCAGATTGTAGATATATATGGTAATAACATGAATAACTATGGTAGCTGGGCCTCGGTTTCTGGCCCCAGTAGTTGTCCAAATAAAGCCTGCTAAGGCATAGAGGCCATTTAGCTAAACTGTTCAATAAAAGTACTTAGACCATTAGGTTCTATTACCCAGTAAAATGCTTTGTGGATGTGCATGGAGAAACCCTCGCAGACAGGGCATAGGGATCGGAATATTAAATCATTCCTTTTCCAACACTGGATGATCCTCTAATGCAGAAATAATGTTAAAAACAAGCAACTGCGTCGAGCAGAATTTAGCTCATAATGATGGAATAAAACTTTTGCATGTTCGTTGGCTTCAGAGTTTTCTTCATTGACCCCAGATGAGTTTCCTCATTGTTCTACAAATCCGATGGTTTGAAGAAAGAAAAAATAGATGCTTAACTTAAAACAGGCATACGAGCCCTCGTCCAAAACGGACTATTTCCTCCTTCCTTCAGCCTGACAGCAAGCTAACGATAGCACAGACATGTGCTAAGTCAACGTTGAACTCTCACATAACAGTTCCTACAAAGCTGTGCCTTAAATAAACAATACAACATAAACAGTATAAACTGAGGAAATATGAAAATGCTTTTGATTAACTGGACACTCTCTTGCCAAGAAACCCCCCAAAAAAACAGGGAAGGATGAAGACTGAATGTGACCAAACTATTTTAATCACTGTGTATGACAAAACGGTCTTAATAAAGTCAACCACAACATCTTATTTCTGTTACTTTTTACGTCTGGATTTGTTGACTTCTCTCACAAAAATCTTGAAATAATGCTCCCCCCCCATTCAGAACGCGGTGCCATGGACTCTACTGTTTCTAATAACCGCTTTTACTTATCCCAGAATCAGGGCAAGTGAGACCCGAAATACATTTAACAACCTCACTGAGGCCCTATAATGAGAAAATAGATATTATACTAATGTTCTGCCGTTACCTAGTGGACTGCATCTGCCTTGTGGTCTCTGGGTCCTCGAACATCTTCACAATGGGCTCGGTCTCGGACTGCAGCTGCTTCAGCTGGGCCACCACCTCCGTCCTCTTCTCCCTTAGAGCTGATACGGGGAGGGAGAAGAAAGCCATGAGCCACAACAACACCGTAAACCAACACGATCGTGATCCAGGAACTACGAAAGTTCACTGCTGAATCGATTCGGACTGCAGCAAGCGGTGTGCTGCCCGTTTACGATCAAGCAACATTAATATGGTCCTTGGTTATATTTGTGGTATTTATTGGGGGTGTGTGAATGGGGATGAGGTGTGTATCCACCAGGCGTGAGCACTTACTGTGGGGGATTTCTTTCTCGGAATAAAGGCTTCTGTACACATCCATGGCGAAGTCCACCATGTTTGTCTCACTGAGGAGATCCAGTTTTCCATGAAGAAGTTCCTGTTCATTGTAGATCTAAAACAGCACAAAACAGAAGTGTTGGTTTTTGTACAATGTTATTATTTGACCAGGAGGCTCTGGTGAAGAGGGCAAAGAACCCCCGAGACAAGCAGCGGTGAGGTGCGATTATAAATTGACTTATTGTCTTTCAATGGAGGATTAAATCATGTGCAGGCTAAGTTTTGTTTATGAACAAGCAAAGCAAAGAACATTCCCTTGAAATAACCTCTTACAGTGATTATTAATTGATTCCCAGTGGGAATCCGACATAATACTTCACTCAGACTTTCTTAAAATAACGTTAAATTGACCAGGTGAGTTGGTAATTCCACTGAAATAAGTTTGTCAAATGGTCATTTATACGATTATAATATATTTTTACTTTAGTTATTGTACTTTTATCTTTTCCCACCATAGCTTCTGCAGAGAACAATGGCTTAACGTTAATGGCTAATGGGCACACCAGTTCACTAAAACAATATTAAACTGGAGGTAAGAATGACGTCACTCCTATCCCAGCCTAACAAATGAGACAGTAATCCACATGGGAAATAGTTCATGTTTAAATCGACCTAACGTTTAAGGTTTGCTAGCTAGGATTACTTTAACATGTTATCTGCTGGCCATGTTAACATCACTGATGACGTGCTCTATATAAAACGTTATATTCAGAGTCAGCGCAGGGGCCTAAAATCAGCAGCATCCCAGAATGCTGTTTGATTATTGCAACGGGAACCGTTTCCAGCTAACGCTACAAAGGGTTAGCATAGCACGTTATAGCTCGGGTGCGACTGCTTCATCTCCCAGTATATGCGCTACTTGGCGCCTTTTGAGCAGACGTGTAGAGCGATAACATATCTGAAAGGCAGCAGTAAACAACTGGGAATCGTTATAACCAGATAATGTGTAGAACAGGCGCTACTAGTTAAGGTAAGGCGCTGCCCTGCGACCATCTGGATCTGAAACAGCGCGTGGCCTGCTCATCCACTGTAAAGTTAAAGAAAATTAAAGCATGACTTCCGGTATTCTATGTTTCGATTAAAAAAAACTAGGTGTGGTAATAAGAGGAGTAACATAACAGTATTATCCCTACGTATACAATTGTGTTACAAAAGCATGCGTTGATCTAATCGCTGACACGTATATATGTACGTATTTTGTTCTGTTCTCATCAACAGTTTTCCGTTTGTCAAAGTGATGGGGAATAGAATGTCTAGGATTTCTTTTATTTTGAAGGCACGCAGCTATATATCCGGCTCCACTCCGGTTGAATGTGTTAGCTCAACAGCTACAGAAAATGTGACCATCTCCTTAACGCACAAAGCCTCGAAAACTGCTCGAAAACTGAAAATATTTTCTTGAAAACAACGAGAAAATGTAATGAAACGTATACACGTTTATAAATGTCATACCTCTTTGACCGATAGGAACTCCAGCAGAGGAAAAACGAGATGACGGTCTAAAAAGTGAGCAATTTTGGTAGTGAGGTCGTATTCCGCCATCTTTGCTCCGGGGAAAGGAAAGCGGAAGTGAGATGTGGTTGCGTAGAGAGGGACTGACCAATCAGCGACATGCTCAGTGTCTTCAATGAGAAATAACCTCCTTTTTTATCTACAACACATAGATAGACGGAAACATTTTAAAACGTTTTTTCATTTATTTGTTTAATTATGAACTTCCCTCTTTCGATCAATGTATTTCTGATATGCTTAAACTGTTATGTTGCTATTATTAAAAAGTTACTATCATTATTATTATTCTATTACACTCTGGTTCTAGTGGTGGATTGATTTTTTTTGGACACACAACTGTGGCTTGTGAATCTTTCAATAATTTCTTTGTGGTGTTGATACAGTACAACATTTCATTTACAAGAAGGACTTCAAGTAAATCTTTTGTTGAATTTGAAAACATAGGCTTTCCTCCAGACACCACTAATATATTTTTTAAGCTTGTCTGTGAAAAACGCCTTCATAGGACTAAAAACAATTTGAGGGCCAATACAGTCATGATGAACCCACTCATGAGACTGGTAAATGTGAAGGAATGAACTTTTCCACAAAGTTTGAATGTTACTGTTCATCGAAAGAAGGATGATGCCATCCTTCTTTCGCCTCCTTTACTTCAGCAGCTGCCTCATAAAAGGTGCCCATGTGTCAAACAAGACAACTTCGATATGAGCTATTTAATGGCCCATTTTTAACAAGTTAACTCACGTGTCACTGTCTTCACACAATTCTCCTCTTGTTACCACTGGACTCTCATGGTTTTTGAAAATATCTCAGCGTCACGCAGTGAGAGAAAATGATTATTGTCAGCGAGAGGTCACAAATTACAGGCGGTTTAGTATTTTCATTTTTCCATTTGAAGGCCGGTGAGGATCCATACCAGCGGTCACAGTGTCGGTCCAGTTCTGTTTACTGCATGTGAACCTGTGTGTGTGTGTGTGTGTGTGTGTGTGTGTGTGTGTGTGTGTGTGTGTGTGTGTGTGTGTGTGTGTGTGTGTGTGTGTGTGTGTGTGTGTGTGTGTGTGTGTGTGTGCGTGCGTAAAACCAACCGGTAATAAAATACAAAGCATTTTTTATTCAACGCTGTAGTTTTAAAATGTATAACTGATCTATGAAAATATAATTGTGTCAAAGTCGTAATGGAGGGTCCAAAGAAATCTCAAAAAGGGATATTTTTTAGTGGTTCTGTCACAGCTCTGTTACTTCCACCTTTCACTCCACCCAAACAGTTCATCTTATACACCTACCTGACCCATCACACTCAGCTGTCCGCCCTACTGCCTCCCTTTAGGATTTAAACCCCCAGTCACTCACTCACTGCCACATCATTATTCTGGACTGATGGACTGATTCTCTGTTTCAGACACTGTCTCGTACTTCCTCGCCTCACTCCTGCCCCGGTCTTCACCCAGCCTTCTGTCCCTGACCACTACTTTTCCCAGTGACTGCACAACCTGTTTGTCTGCATTGAGGGAAATAAAGACTCTGATTTGAACTCCTGCTGTCTGCCGTACTGCATGTGGGTCCGTTCCTTACCCGTTAGTTTCAGCCGTGATCCTTCAAACCAATAACATGCTCTGACAGAGCAGCAAAACCTGATTCCTTCCAACCTTATTTGTCTGAAAACATGAGCATAGCTCGATAATTGCTCCTCTCTGACATAATATGCACTGTAACGTCCATCTTCTGTGTAATCGGAGTGGGATTTTATGTGCAGGCAATAATACTTAATATTCAATATTGAGTTAGGAAGCAGCGGAAGGAATCTTTACCGGTCCAGGCAAAGCCGTTAAGCAATTCCAGACAAGCTAAATGAAAAGAACTAAACTGACAGAGAACTTGGTGTTTCAAACGATGATTTAAAAGCCAAATTGCTTTGGTTTCTCTTGTTCCCACGGTCTATATATTAATTTAAGGGGAGAATAGTGTTTTGTAAAAACATCTGCAGGGGAATTCCCTTAAACGTTCTCAGATTATTCAGTTTCTTTTCTGACACAACACTTGTGTTTTTGTGCTGATAACATCTACACAACTAAAATCATGCGCCATGTTCTTTCTTCTCACAGTACTTTTTTTCTCCGGTGTGTCAAGTGAAATATCCGGAGTTTCCAGTTGTGCCGCTCAAATTAAATAATGTTTGCTTTATTCAAGCATAGGCCTCATCTGACCCCTAAAGGAGTTCAAATGGCATACTAATCAAACTTAAGATATTGTACTCAGCCTATAAATGTTACTGTGGTTGTTTCAGTGGTTTTGTTCATTAAAAAAAAAAGAAAAATCCAGTCTAGTTTACCACAAGCAGAATTTAACTCAAATTAATTTAAAGGGTGGCTTCACCAGAATGACCAATATACAAGCAGAGATTTGCAGTTACAGAGCAGGACTTTAAACATTGGCCAAAGCATAGAAAAACAACATCCGGGTCCGCTATGTGAACTTTTTTTCTGATTGACTTACAGTGAGAGATTTGTAAATCAGTCAATTGAACAGGGCTGAAAAAGTGAGCGAATACTCTACGGTGCCCATAAAGATCCACGTAGTTTTATAATCTGTTTAGTTTTTCTGCTTCATGTTCCGCTGAGCAGCTTTTGGGATGAAGGACAGTGGTTCTCTTCATACACAAAGGCCCACAGAAGTCTATGACTTGAACAAGTCTGAGTGCAATTATGTTTCCTGTAAGGGTATGCAGTAGGTCAAATGGTTTGTACAGGTAGGAGACGTGTTCGTTTTTACAACCCTAACAGTGTGTTTAAGCCCAAATGGTGATGGCCCAAATGTCAAACTGGAGGTTTCAAAACAGCTGTCCATGAACCATTGGGTGACGTATCTGCGACGATGCTCACTTGTTCTATGTAGTCGAGGCGTCACGCCCACATTTTTTGTTTTGTTTTTTTTAGATTGAGATTGAAAATCAATTTTTCAAGGAAGACAGGCAGCAACATAGAAACAGAAAACACAGAATAAGACTAGTTTAAATAAACTAAATGTTTAAGAGGCTGTGATGTAACCAGGGTTATTTAAAAAAAAACACTGACATTTTTGAGAACTTATGTTTCTTTCATTTAAGATTTAAAGGCAGTGTGGAATCACTGACGGACATATTCGTCAGTGAGGGTGCAGTGCACATAAAAGCCCCTTTCCCCCATTTCCGTTCTGACATTTCGGACAAGGCGCATAAAGAATGCCTGAGAACGCCAGGAATATTGTCCGACACGTATGTGCATGATGTAGGCACTCAGGGAGCAGACCAAGGACGGCCTATAAATAAAGGTGTACCAGTAACGGAGCCTACGGGTGGCCACAGTGGTGAGACAGAAGTTTACAATTTGTAAGGAACAGCAGTGAAGAATGGTAAGCTGTGTCCTCCATACAAAGACAGTTTGCAGAGGCAATCATTATAGTCCAACACAGGGAAAAATGTAGCAATGTTATTGGTACCACATAAAAAAATATTACAATTTTTATTGTGATTTAATTGCATGATTTGCTGCAAAAAAATAATATTTATAAATTCAATAGTAGTGTATTGCACACTAAAAAAAGTACTAATATACAGTGGGGAGAAGAAGTATTTGATACACTGCCGCTTTAGCAGGTTTTCCCACTTACAAGGCATGAAGGAGTCTAATTTGTATCATAGGTACTCTTCAACTGTGAGTGATGGAATCTAAAACAGTTGATATTATTTGATACTGTTGTGTGGTTGGAGGAGAGAGGAGCCAAACGCAAGGGCAGGTAAAGTCTGTTTTAATCAACTTAGAATGTCCAAAAACAAAATGGCACTAAAGGCTTAACAGGAGAGGTGCGGGCGCTTGGCCGGCGACGGGGAATCCCGGAGAGTGCAGGGAACGAGCTCCAGGGCGAGGGTAGAGCACTCCAGACAGCAGGCCGCCCACGTCAAACGGGAGGCTGCGTGGAACAGAGGTTTGGACTCGGGCCACAGCGTAAGGCACGAGCCGTTAGGACACGACACGGCAGGGCAGGGCAGGACAAACGAGACAGCAGGTACAGGTCCGTCGGGTGCATAGTCAATACTCTGGCAGAGAACAAGGGGAAGAGGCAGGCTAGAAATAGAGAGTCTAATTGCAGAAGGTAGGAACAGGTGAGGAGGAAAAGGAAAGGAAAGGAAAAGAGGAGGATACCCGGTTTATGACAGAAAAGCTGCACTTAATATTTGGTGCAAAAACCTTTGTTTGCAATTACAGACATCACACGTTTCCTGTAGTTCTTGACCAGGTTTGCACACACTGCAGCAGGGATTTTGGCCCACTGCTCCATACAGACCTTCTCCAGATCCTTCAGGTTTCGGGGCTGTCGCTGGGCAACTCGGACTTTCAGCTCCCTCCAAAGATGTTCTATTGGGTTCAGGTCTGGAGACGGGCGAGGCCACTCCAGGATTTCGTACGGAGCCACTCCTTAGCTGCCCTGGCTGTGTGTTTCGGGTCATGGTCATGCTGGAAGACCGAGCCACAACCCATCTTCAAGGCCAAGATCTCGCGATGCACGGCCCCATCCATCCTCCCCTCAATACGGTGCAGTCGGCCAAACCCAACTTCTAATGTGATTGGACGAGGGTTTCCCCTCCTCACAAATCCCAACGCAACTGCTGCTAGGTCCAAAGATGCGGGTAGGTGGAGATTGATACCTTTGGATGGAGCCGGTGTACTGGTCTCCGCTGGTTTTTCATGCTCAGCCTAACGGCTGCTTGCTTTTGCTAGCTTAAAGGATATGAGAGTGGTGAGGCTGTTTTCATCCAAAATCTCGGCAAGAAAACAAATTTGCGTTCTTCCCAAAGCCCCTTCCCATTGAGGCCGGCCTGCAATTGTGGACTGCAAATCCATTGTTGTGTGTCAGACCCAAACCCTTAGTGTGGAACATAACTATGCCGTGGCCATGTCCATTCCAACTTTGGAATCTCCTCCTGCCAAGGCGCTTCTCAGTCGGCCCAACCAACAGGGTGAATGCAACTATTGATTTGGTCCCAGCAATTCCCACAGCACTCAGCCAGGCTCTTGCATGAAGAGTTTGGGGCTAAACACTTAAAAGTGGAGTAAATATTAACAGTCATCCATGTCCTGTAAATCAAAGTGTGTGTGTGTGTGTGTGTGTGTGTGTGTGTGTGTGTGTGTGTGTTTGTTGAACGGCTGCAGGCAGTGATGTCTTTGATCACAAATGATAAAGTGATGCCACCAGCAGCATCGACATATTTCAGCATGCAGAAAAGTTATCCATCACTTTACTTGTTTGTCTTGCAGAAAATGCTCCGCTGCGTTGCAATAAATATAAATGGTGCTGTTGTGATGGGCTAAATATTCCATGAAAAACCTCAACTCTCCAGTTCTCTGAAAGCTTTCTTGGTCAACGAATGGATCCAAGAGAGGGAGTGGAAATGACACTGCCAAAGACACCGACCGCTGGCCTCTTTCTACTATCTGTCAAAATGTAAATCAATAAGTCCTGGAGACAAATGACTCGCTGCTGGATTTTGCACGGCCAAGCATCCCCTGCTCTGAATCCGAATTCCAGCCCCTCATACGAATTTCAATAATTATTTTGCAAACTTTTTAGCCATGCATCACCTCACTCCGCCTGCATGTCAGGTTATAAATCAGCGGCACCACACTCCCGTTTTGGAGCCCAGCGCTGACTTCAACACTGTCGCACTCTATGGCAGCGGGATGAAGGTTATCGACCAGGCTCGTGTGGGCCGGAAAAGCATGCCAACTTCCAGCACCATCATCAACATCTGCGCGAGATATGTCTGCCGCACGAAACAAGGAGACTCACATCGGGGATGTGCAGCTATCACAATTTAGGATGGAGATGAAAGAACTTCAATATTTGCTTGGAGGTCAAACTTTCTCTAAAAGACTGCAGGATGGTTATGTAAGACTTTGCTCTAATGCAAAGTCATCATATGTGAATGTTTGTGTACTTTGATGGTGGCAGGAGCATGTTGATGTTGAAATAACCTCCATAAGCACGTATGGGCCAGTTCTTCTAAATGACACCCACAACATCTGTGGCCATCACCTGCTCCGCGTCTTTTGGAGCTAATCTAACATGTGGGGATGTTAAAACACGGTTTTAATTTAATAAGAACGAGCAATTGGCTGTTGAAACCAATCTAGCAAAAACACGCTGTAATACTTTGATCAACAACAAGAAAACCGCGGTACTACGGGAGCAGTACATGTAAAGCCTTGCACTGTGCGAGTAAGGTTGATTACCAGTGTCGTGCGGCTCTGACGTGGGACTCAATATTGTTCGTGGCACTGAAATTTAGAGCGAGAAGAGCCGCAGAGTGAGGGAGCCTAATTGTGATGTGCCATAATTTCCCGCCCAAGGCCTCTCTGTACTCAGGATATGGGTGAGGTCAAAGGTGCAATACAAAGCGTGCTGGAATCATCAGTACAGAGTTATTCGCGGTGAGGTGAAAGCATCTTGATCAGGGGACCTAATCAGATTTCTAAGTAAACACGGTACCGCCAGCCCCGGAGGGCTAAGTCCAAACATTGTTGCTAATTGCATCTGTCTTCATTTTCCCTAACTCACTGTACAACACCAACGAAAAAGAAATCTAGATGAAACCAGAAGTTTTTGGAAACCACAGAGAGTACCTCAAACTTACGTCAATTTTTAGCCTAGAGCTGTACATTTTAGAGATTGCCAACTCCGATTGCTTCTGTCAGAAATCAAAATATAATGAATGTTTCTACTGGAATATTTCTCTTTTTTCCATACATGGAGAGTGAAAAGGAAAATGTATACATATGCTTTGTCCTGTGTGCAATATACGGGGCCTTTGAGAGTATGAAAACTTACGTAAGCACATGTCCAACTGGGTTTTCAGAAGGCAGCAATTGATCTCGGGTATTGTGACATTTCTCTGCAAGAGGACTGCTCCATGCTCACACAGAGCAGGAGGATCCTGGAATCCTGAGTCACATCCACTGCACGGTGTTTGTTGCAGGCCACAGTCACAGCCCTGGCCTTCAATGGCACATAGGAGGGGGGGGTGCTCTCTATCCCAAAGGACAATGTATTATGGTTTGACTGCGGTTTCAAACTCATAATTTATATTATTACATTTTGTGTTCGCGCACAAACCCCACTACATATCAACTGACTGCCATGTGCAGACTTGGAAAATGCACAAATCACCGATGCTGAGCAAAACCTAAACTGCACATAGTTATTATTTGCATTTCTGACAGAGATGATGACATTTCATATTTTTCTTTTACTTTTCTAATGATTTTGAGCTGTAATATCAATGTCCTTGATGATGAGGAAAAAAAATCACTCGATATAATATCAGATTTCTTAAAATGTCTCAGTAAGCAGGTTTGTGCTGAGTTCACATCAACAAGTGTATAATGTGGTAAGAACAAAGTGTGTAAGTAAGCAAACACAACGAGGGAATGAGATCCACAGTGGCTCCTAAGGGAAATCAGAATAAAATGACAGATGTGCTTGGAAAGCACATTTCAAGTGTTCCTATAGTTGGGGAGCCATGCAAAAAAAAAAGAAATAGAGCATGAGAACGACCTCATCTGGAATGTAAAAGTCTGCTCTTACCTGCCCACTAGCCATCATGCTACATGTTGCTGACTGCTGACATGTAGAGTCAGAACGAATTTATGCTTAAAAGTCAAAATCACTTGATTCTATGTCCATCACTTATACGTATTCTTACATTAATATAACATTGTAATGATTCCTATCACCATTGTTATTGTTATTATCACTATTGTTATTAGTTTTTTGTTTAAAAAATGTGTTTTTTTTCAGGCACGCCCACTGAAGGCGACCGATGACGTAGGCACGGCGTATGCTGTCAAACGGAAAAAAAATGGCGTCGGTGTCAGACATGTACGATGTGGGTTGGGAAGGTAAGTAAAACGATCATTTGTATATATATAAATCTCCTCAAGTAACGCTCAGACCCCTCGATGCACTCTGCACTTCTAATGTACAAGAGCACAAGGGAGAGTTCTGTCCGGGACTGGAAATACGAGCTAATAAGCGAGCGTGTACGAGAGTAAGCTATTGCTAGTTAGCATGGTTGGTTTACGCATTTGTGTTCGTCCCTACAGCACATACGCACTAGGTGACAGCCGTCATTTGTATCTTAGCCTCAGTTGTCGGCGCTGTGAAAGGTACGTGCAATGCACTTCTGTAACGTTGAGCGCTGTCTGTGGGTTTTCGGAGGACCGCCTAGCGTCTTTAGCATGCTAGCTAGTCACAGCCATGGCAGCGGCTAACGTCGGCTAGCGGTAACGTCAGAGCCATCCTGTCGTAGCGCAGACGGTGGTGCAAGTTCCACCTGCTTCTCTGATGATCACATCACAGCCTTATCGTTAAATTTGCGTGATTTGCATTTTTCATCCGTCTTTACATATCAGAACAACGCATGGAAGAAACAACACTTAAGTAATCCAAGTCCTGCATTTGAAGGACCCGGCTTGATGCGTTGTGTTTGTTGTTTGTCAAAATATCACAGTTGTCATTATGGCTTAACCGTTTTGTCCGCAGAGATGAGAGACAAGCTGCGTAAATGGAGAGAAGATAACTGCAGGAATAGTGAGCAGATTGTGGATGTTGGTGATGAGCTGATCAGTGAACATTCATCTAAACTAGGAGATGACGGTGAGTGTGTCAAAGGAAAAACATAATAAGCTCATGTAACTTGATTGCAAATAAATGACGTTGCAAGTGTACACAATATACACACCGAGGTTGTACTGAAGAGTTAAGTACAGCCTGTAAGTGAATTCACAATTTAAAAACATTTGTTTGGAACCAGGATCCTCTGCTTTGTAGTGCTGAAAAACCACCAAATGACCAAGAGTACAAAAACTGCTCGGCTAATGTTATTGACTGTGGTTTCAACTTGAGATATATATATAATACACACACACACACTCGTGCCCTTCATGAGCTACACAGATCCTGCCGTCCCGGCTCGTCCTTCTGCAGACTACATTGCACTCTGTATGCCGATTGAGACTCTCTGAGTAGAGGATAAACTCCAAAGATGAACCTCTTTTTCAAGCTTCTTTGCTTCAGTATCCTATCACTCACTCAGCTATAAAGTACTATTGTATAGCCATATTTCATTTTTTCCACCACAAAGGGAACTTGGAAAAAAGGAGAAAAGTATTATTTTACTTGCTTGGGTGTCTTCCATCAGTAGTTCTCAGCCTTTTTTAAGTAAAGTGCCCCCTAAGCAGCGCACAGGACTTTTGGTTGAAATAAATATGCAATATGTCATGATCCGATTTATTAAACTGGCTAGTTTTCATTTCTGAAAAAAAGAACCACACGTACCCCGTGAAGTGCTTCCACATATTCACCATTTGAGAATCACCGTATTCGATTATGAGTAGGCAATTTGACAAACAAATTCCGAGTACATTTTCACTAAATGCAGCCAATAGCATTGAATATATTCCAGATTTACTGTAAACGTTGATGCCAGACAGCAATCGAAATGGTGTGAAATGTGCATTCGTAACCATCCCCTGCACTAATGCTCCAGATACGATTGCTTGAGATTTTATTTTTGTAGCACGAGTGACTTTTACCAACCATTATTATATTTAAGGTTAATGGTCTCCCTCATAGTACAGCCCTTCTGCTATACCCCATAGCCCCCCTCCACCACCCCCCTCGCCTCTAGTCAAAATGATTCATACAGTCCTCAAAAGAGGTGGATAAACACTTAACATGCCATGCGTTTATTCAAACCAGACCTTAAATTGGCTGTGAAATGGAATGGCAATTATCAAAACAACAGTTGGAATCATTAAAGTCAAGAAAAACTTGAGGCATTTGTTTGTTTTGGCATAACCTGTTAAATTGTGGGTGGAGTTGGATTTTATTATGCTTTTCAATTAACAGGCGGGGTTTATTTGGCCGAGCATGTCCGGTTTGCTTGTCAGAGCTGTCCGTCTAACATGTTGTATTAATTCTATTAATTGGCTCCTGTAGCCAGACTATTAGACAGTGTGTTATAATGTTACAGTTGACTGAATGAATAAACATTTAAATACATTTCTTTAAAGCTAACCACCAAGAGAAACATGTTCTAAGGAATGGTTTGTGCCTGTTATTCACGGCGCTCCACATGCCATGTTCTGCGAGTCTAATGAAGACAACTGTGCTGAAATGTGCTTCAGAATGTTACGTGACTGTAGAAAAATGGATTTGAGAATATTCATCTTTTAAGTCCACACAAACAGAATCTTGATAACCATCATTGGGAAGAAAATAGACAGCGCAGACAGTCAAATCAGTGTCCCAATGTTATTCTAATGTGAACCACAGTAACTGGATCCACAGTCGCACCATCCAGAACTGTTTGGTCAGCTGCTTTGCTTCCACAAAGCATCAACAGTGGGTCTAATAAACAATGTTATTAATATTTGTGGTTATTTTAAACTAAAAAAATGAGCTTCGCTTGGATTTATCTGCCCAACTTGTGACTATCTTTTTTTCAGAAAAGAAAAATCCCCTTCATGTACAGACAGCAGCACAGACTGTTCAACATTAGTTAGAGGGGATTGTAACAAATCTAACAACTTATTTTTCCTTGACGATGTTACACTTCACTCCTTAAGTCTAACATTTTACTGAAGTGGAATTGGTAATTTACTGCTGTTGTGTTAGGAAGTGAATAACATGGCAGTAAAGCCTTAAACAAGGGCAGTTACTTGAAATGGTTCTGCTTTCATTATTATTATTATTTTTTATAAATTCAGATCATTAATTTCTTTTTTTCTGAACATGGTCCTCCATGTATTTGGAGCGTTTCATGTGCAATGAGATGTGGAAAGTTCTTTGAGCTCTCCAGCTGAGTCACACCATGGAGGCTCGTCTGCGAGTAGAAAAGCCCATGTGCTGCTGTGGGGACGGTCACAGCAGACAGTGCAATGGAAAGGGTGGTAACACTGTCGTCTGTGTCTCTTCTGCCCAGTGTGGATTATTTATGAGCAGGTGATGATTGCAGCGCTGGACTGCAGTCGGGATGACTTGGCTCTGGTAAGAGTTTTATTTATTTTTATTTATTTTTTTAACCGCTCACACGCCCTAGAGCTTCAAAAGCCATCGTTCACTCCCTCACTGCCATTCCTACTTTGCAGCAACCTCCCTCTGCCAAATGTGAGAATCAGATTTTTATTTGGCCAAATAGTTCTACTCTGTCTGTACTTTGGAAAATAAACAATTTTCTGAGAATTGGAATTAAGCGGATGAAGCAAATGAGCAGGGAAGCATGCTTCAAGTGTTTGCTGAAGTTGGCCATCATCCCTGTACTTCAACCCCTATTTATTCGCCTTCCAAAATCATAATGTGACGGTTCTGTCTTCACATTTCCGAAGCGCTCACTGCAAAAAAAAGAGATCATGATTTATTGAAATGTTCATCTCCAATCATTGAGTGGACAACAGGCGAGACTCCTTTTAGCTCCGCTGCCGCAGAGTAGAAGCGGGAGAACGGACAGCACTGATGAGGGATGAGGGACTGTCCGAATCGGACAATCCCTCATCCCTTATCGGGTGGCGGCGTCCTCAATCCCGCTGTCGTAGTAGCGAACGTGGTTGCTTAATGGTTAACACAAACACACTCTGTAGTTATAGCAGATTCTGACACAAAGACCATAAAACTGGTCTCTACACAGACCGTTTTCAAGTCGGTGCGTTAAATGAAAGTGAAATATGACATTTTGAAGACCGGTGGTTCCTCTCTGTCTCTCTCTCTCTGTGTGTAACAAAAAGTTTGTTGCAGCCAGCAATAATGTGTGTCTCTCCTCTGCCCACGTCCTCGCAGACCTGTCTACAGGAACTGAGGAAGCAGTTCCCAGATAGCCACAGAGTGAAGCGGTTATCGGGCATGAGGCTGGAAGCTCTGGAAAGGTAAGCGTCATGCACAGAAGGCCGCGGAGGCGGAGAAGGCGCCGCATACGTTTTGCCCAGCCGCAGTGCTATGTACTGTATGCTACTTTAAGAAACTGTGTGTGCGACTGGAAGGGCTCCAATGTACTGTGTGTGTGTGTGTGTGTTTGTCTTGGAGGAAAGGTTCAGCACTGGGTAGTCCTGTGGCCCTTTTTTAAGCCTGAGTTAGGGATTCCCCAGGAAGGAAGTGGTGGGATCCCACCGTTATTTCGGGGGTCCCCCTCAGTCCGCTCTGGTTTCTGCTCCTCCATTGTTTCCTCCATGGTGCCGCCCCTCAGCTCTCCTTATTTAATGCTTCCTTCTCCGGTTTTGTTCTCGGTTTTGCAAGTATGTCACACCTAAGTAAATAAAGACGTGTCAACAAACCTGATACACCCCCCACCCCCTTTTCAAGTATGTGTTGGAATCTGCCGACTGAAGGACAGAAAGTAAACACAACGGAGAGCCTGAGCAGGAAAGATAAACAGACGTTTTTGTTTTTAGTCTCCTCTTCGTTTCAGTTGTTTCCAATGTGATTACAACCTCGCTCACATTCACCACCCGGATCACCGGTGCAGGTTTATCGCCTGTGTCAGTTTATGTGATAATTGAGAGCGATTGCTTCGGCGCTGTCAGATGAAATAAACGGCACACCAGGATCTAATTGGCAGCAGACAGAGCTACACTTATAGGACACAGCTTCAAACGAGCAAGCCCGTCCCCTCCGCCCATGTGCGCGAACACACACACACACACACACACACACACACCCACACACACAGGGTTCCTAAATAAATAAAGCAAATCAAAGTGGCTCGTGAGTGGTCGCCTGGTGCCATCTGAAATCTCCCAAAGTGTGGCTGAGTAATAAAGTGAATGTGAGGGAGGCAGCAGCGCTGTAAGTGGGCCTTCTCCGTGCTAATGGGAACCAGAGTTGCTTCTGTCGGTGGGCGGGAGTTTCTAATCACTGAACTCTGCCTTTTGGCTGCCGAAACATCAGCGTTGCAGATTGCCCCTTTTTTAAGGAATGAAACAAAAAACATACCTCTTATCCCCAGATTTCTTTACTGTATGATTTGATATTTACAGCTTATAAATGACCCTTTAAAACCGAATCATGTGGGCTCAGTTCAAGCGTTTGAGCGCTCTGTGTTGGATATTGTTGCATATCCGCTTCGTGTGTGTGTGTGTGTGTGTGTGTGTGTGTGTGTGTGTTGTGGTATCATGTGTGGGCCAAGAGACGGATAACTGAACCTACTGCTCGGCTGTGGATCCGGACCAAAGTAAAAGTAGCAGCTTAATTTTGTTTAAAGGTAAATCAAACTGGATACAATCAAATCCACAGCAATCTTCAGAACAGCGCTGTGCGTGTATTGATTTCATGACTCATTGTCAAGCCATGTAAGCCTCTCGCCGCGTCAGCCGTGTGACCGGCAACCTAAACTTAGGCGAGTGTTTATTTCTTCCCTTTTGATCCCCACTGATTTCCTGCACAGCCTCACTGTAATCATAGGAACCTGCCACGCTGTATACAGAAACGTGATTACCTTGAACTGCGTTGGATTTCTCCACCGCCTAATCTTTCCCGACTGGGATCGGTTTAAAAAAACATGTATTCTTCTCTCTCTCTGAAGGTATGATGAAGCCAACAAGCATTACGATGCCATTCTCCAAGACGACCCCACCAACACGGTAAGACCGAGAAGGAGGGAAAGAGCAGGAGAAATCCCTCAGTTTAACGTTGGACTTTGTGGTCTCGGCTGTTTTTTTGGGGGGGGGGAGGCTTTAAATCTGCCCAGGCTCTCCGATGTGAGCAATGTGAGTGTACAAAGTTAAACTCCCCGTGGCCTCTCTGACCTCAACCACAGCGCTCATCAGCCTTTCACCCACACGACTGAGACGTGTTTAAGGGGGGGGGGCAGGTGAGTGGGAGGTGATTCATGGTCTTAGTCTGGGGCAGACATGTTTGGTAGAAGTGAGCCGTAAATAACGGTTCGGCCTTTGAAGATGGTTGATTTACTGGACCTTTTAGACCCCCTCCACCTCCTACACGTCCACCCTGATTGAACATGGCTGAGCTCCCGTCCCACCTTCCCTATTGCAGTCTACCAGCTTCAGGTGCAAAGTCCGATGATGTTAAACAATCCCACAATAACTCTTATTGGACTGCTCTGAAGCTCTCTGCTCGCTATCCTCTCTGGCGAGCTGTGCACCTCTGGCAGAAGCAGGTCCAGCCCGGGTTCTGCTAATCCCGAAAACCACGAGCCAAAGCATCGCGTACCTGCTGTTAATCCCCTCCACGAGGACACGTGCCCATTGCGAGGAAATACATCCTTCAAAGGGTTTTCAAAAGAAGCCATGACCCTGTTTACATTGGCCGTACCTCTCGCCCCCAAAAGATGTCTGACAAGTTGCCTGGGCCATGCGCGTGATCATATATGGGTGACTTTGGAAATGGTCGAAACGTTTTCCCTCAGCTGGCAGAGGGCGGCCGGAGGTTCTGCAGACCATCAGTTAAGGTCTTCAAACAATGACGAATCGTGACCCACCAGCTCTTGCTTTGGCCACCTCCTCCTCATCATCAACACCCACAGTAGCTGCTGGTCGGGTCACGGGAGGTTCTTCTGTTTAGAGCTTAGCCTGGTCTGAATCTCACAAGAGCACTTATTCTAAAAAATATCTTGTCTTGGATTGCAGAAGGACAATTCTGAATAGTTTCTATGCGGTTTGAAGCCATCCAATACATTATTTTAAAAATGGCACAACCTCAGACTAATGCCAGAGAACCAAGAACTACCAACCGACTTCATTAAAACGTCTGTCGTGGCCGTCGCATTTCTCTCGACAAGCAACAAGCAAAAACATTTTTGTGCGGTCGTCTACTTTCCTAATTTATGCTTCAACCTTGATCCATTCCATGTGTGACCAGAAAATAACTATGACGTCTTTTAGGTGAATACTCATCCCGGTCATACGTGAAGAAAAGTCTAAACTCATCGTTATTTTCATGGTACACACTATTTAGACAATGGGAGTTGTGATTTCAGTGGATCCCAGGGCGCCTCCCCGACACGGCACAGATCTCCCGGGGATTCCGGTGACATCCTCGGAAAGGGATCGGTCGGTTTCCTGGTTTACCTCCAGCCCAGCCAGCCGAGGCTGTCAGTCAAACCCGAGGGAGCCGGGAATGGAACAAAACAGACAAATGGGTTGAATGTTGACCTTTCTTTAACTTTTTTTTTTTTTTCACCACAATCCCCGTCCTAAATGATTTGCGGGCGGCGGCGGGTGGAGCGCCCGTATGATGCCATTGCTTGGGGTCACCTGTCTTGTGAGCGAGGGCTATCTCCTCCCTACATGATCTCCGACATGCTCCAGAGGAAGGGGCGGGGGATGGGCCAGAGAAATGGCGGAAAATTGGCGACCACAAGGAAGACTCGAAGCATCCCAGCATGCAAAGCAGAGATTGGAAACTGAGCTGTTGTAATTACAGGCTGTGGAATAGATGTGGTACCCATTAACCAAAATTGTTGAATCAACAAAAATTGCTCGAGGTTTTTTTTCTTCTTTTTTCCCCTTTTCTTTTTTTTTAACCATGGCGGTGTCCAAAAAATGTTTCAAAGTCTTAGTTCTTCCATTTCTCGTAATGTTCCAATATTTACAGCAATGATCCGGCAAATTCGTGCCTGTGTACGTGAATTCTTCGCTTTTTGGACCAACATTTAGCAAACAAGGATGCACCGATTTCATAATTTTTGTTGCTGACTCTGTGAAAGCATTAATACCGTATTCCAGCAGTCTCATTCCGCCCTGGTAATTCAATATGAAAATTCTTAAATAAGCCTGTGAGACCACGTAGACGCTTCCTGAGGATGACCTGTATTGTAAGCAATTAATTGAAGACCAAACACCATCATATTTTTCTGGTGAAATCTGAAATTTTAAAGTCCCAATTCCGAATTGTTGCACCAACGTTGAGTAAATCATTTCAAGTAAGTTAGACTTACCGATGCGGTAATAGACTGTGTTTGTAACTAATCATAATATAAAATACCAAACTCCATTTCTTTAACGGCACCATGAAGCATTACTGCGTCTCTTGCTCTCCCTTCCCTTTTTTCCTCCATCCAAATTCCAAGCGTGCACAGCGCTAGGTGTGCCACCCTCGCCGTGATGGTTCTTATTATAAAGAAAGGTTGCGGTAGGTCGGAGCAAATAGCCAGGGGTGATGTAAATAACCCAGTCCTCGCTCCACAGGCCTCCTCAGAGCGCTAATTAAAAAAGAATCACGACAACAGAGGGATCAGACCCAGTGCCAGCCTTTTCTGGATCATTAGTTAGAGAAAGGAGGAGAGCGAGGGGAGTGGTTTGGAATTGCTCTCATTTAATAAAGTGCTGCGTGACTCTCTGGGCTACCAACTTCCATATGTTCCTTTGAGCCCCAAGTGGCTCTTTATCTGGGAATGAGAAAAAAAAAAAAAACTTAAATCTGGGAGAGAAGGGAGGCTGATGGCCGGAGCGCACAAGTGCAACAAAAAAAAAATCCCCATTCAACCTCAATGTAGTTGGTCCCAAAGAGCAAATTCTGCTTCCCTTTTTTGGTATTGTCAGAAGAAAGATGCCACATGCTTGTAATTTAGTATAAAGTCCTGAATCTTGCATAGCATCGAGTTCTGTTGAGAAGCACTGCATGTAATGTGGTGTTTTCACTGTTCATTGTTTGAACTTCAGAACATTTTAAATAATTTACTCAAGTTAGATGATAAAACTACACACACTACAGGTGGGAACAGTGTGTTTGGGAGTAAGATATTGGAACAATACATTTAGGTTGTTACTCTTGATGGCGCTACTGGCTGTGGCTCCGTGTTAACCTGTTGCCTGAAGCTAAATTATAGCTTGCGGCTCTGCTGTCCCAGCGTGGTGGGTAAGTGGATTTCTTGTGATGGCCATGTCGGTCGAGGCCCAACATTTGCAGCTCCCGAGACGTGACTCACACACCGCCCTCGGTGGCTTTGGTTAGGACGGCAGGAGAGGAAGCCCCACTCCATCAAGTGCCAGTCCATTAATAAAACGGGCTGTGGCAGGGCAGTGCACTGCTAATGGAGCGGCAGCCTCCTGTTAAGGTTTTCACTTAGAAGAGGAGGAGGTGGGGGAGGGTGACTGGGTGAGTAAAGTGTTTGGAAAAGTTGCTGCAGCAGGAGTAATACTTTCTAATTCAGATTGATGACATTCTAATCCACCTTAAGGTCAGTCCAACATCAAAACGAAGCGGAAAGCGATTTCCAGCTGATGTCAGTGGTGCTGGTGGAGCGCTGGATGCACGCTGCGCCGGCGGGGAGGCGAGCGTTGGGGTTTGAGGGAGGGTGCCATTTTCCCCACTTGGTTAGGGTTCGGGTTATGACTCACCACTTTATCTCGACCACGGAGCTCACTGCAGCTGCCAAACGCGGAATCATGTGTGTCCACCTCCCGTCAGACGTTGCCACTCACTGTTTCCAATCATGTCCTGGTGGGCTTTACGTTCAGGGAGCTTTCCCAGCAATGAAATTCACTTGACAAAGTTTAGCCGTTTCTGTTAAATGGGTCGGCGGCCTTTTCGTTTCTCATGCGATTCGCCTTACAGAAAACTGAGCATGATTGTGATGGACTGAAAGGAAGCTAACGTACACACTTAAACTCACTACACCCTGCACTCATCCCCCCCCCCTCCGGTTGAAGCTCCTAATCCTGTTTACTGTCTTTGCTCCACAGGCAGCAAGGAAGCGCAAGATCTCCATACTGAAGGCCCAGGGGAAGAGCGCTGAAGCCATCCGGGAGCTCAATGAGTATCTGGAGCAGTGAGTGTTTGTACGATAAGGGGAGAGGGTCAGCCCCCCCCCTTCCCCCTTCCCCTGGCTTTTATTTTAATTAAAAACCAAGTTTGCCTTCCATTGAGCTGGCACGACTCGTGCATGCAATGCCAGCAGACTGTTTCTTGTCAGTTGCCGGCCGTTATAGTGATTGGTAATATTGAACTTACATCTTTAGATTACTATGCAACACCACTGTGTTTGAGGAGGAGTCTTTGTGCTTTCGTTGTTCACAGGTTCGTTGGGGATCAGGAAGCATGGCATGAGTTGTCAGAGCTCTACATCAACGAACACGAGTAAATACTTTTTTTTTTTATGCCACATACTTTGAAATCAGTTAAGCTCAGTTCACTTTGCACTTTGAGAAGGTTGTTATTTAAATAGTTATTTATCACATCGTAAACGCAGGTCAATAGGTTTGGTTTTCAAGATTTTATTCAAATGTTTATATCAAGCTTTAGAACTAGTAGTCAAGCATCCTTGACTATTAACAGATGTTACAGGAGAGCCACGTTTCCTCTATTACACGCATGCCCGTTTCAGCACGCCTATTTGATATACAGATTTAAGGCAAAAACCCACATTCTTTGTTATGTTGTGGTTATTGTTTTGCAATTATTATCAATTATAACCAACAGGACATGAACCTAAGAAATTGTTTAACCGAAGAAAGAAACACCAGTCCCTTTCCCAGTAACGGTTAAAACATTCAAATAACTCCTCTGAGTGAGAATTTCAGTGGCCAAACGATAAATGAACATCCTGTGTTGTTGCATTTGTACATTCCGATGAGATGCATCTGCTGCACCTTCCATAATTTACAGAGGGTATCTATTATTAAAAATGAAAGTCCGGGCGGCCATATGTTGTAGAACCATCTGTCTGTTTAACAGCGCTTCAAATCAAACTGATGGCTTGATCTCCGGAGGGGCGGCTGCGCGGCGCACAATGGGCCGCGGTGAGATGCCGAACTCAGCCAGGGGTCTGAATGGAGCCCCGTCCATGTCTGTCACATCAGAGTACTTTAATAGGATTTCCCTCTTAAGCCCTCCTCTCCTACATATGAGGGCCAAAAGGCTCCCTGGCCTCCCGCTGATGTCTCAGTCGCCAAGGAGAAAGGCCAGACAGACAACAGCATTGTCAGGGGGGGAGAAAAAACAATGTTTTTGTTTGTGTCACCTTTTATCCCCCCCGCTCCCCCCTTAATTGCCTGAGGCTGAGAAGTAAGTGAAGCGGTGTCTGTTGTTGAGCCGAGCTTGTGTGTGACTGCTCGGTTACTCCGGTACGAGGCCAGTGGCAGCAGGAATGCGCTGCGCGCTGAGAAGGCTACTTATTGGATATTTCGTGCTTTTGTGCGCAGGGGCTTTATTGCTGCAGCAGCCAGAGGAAATCCAGGGGTGAGCGGATTATCTGCCGGCTTATCCCAACACTTCCAATATCGCACCATTCACTCCCAAGGCCCCTTATCTACAGGCGTGTCAATTTCTTTTCTTTTGTTTTCTTTATTTTGGGTTACAAACTCTGTTTCCCCTCCTCCTCCTCCTCCTCCCGGATAGCCGGGCTTTATCGCCGCTCTTCTAGAGGAGGAGAGAGGGATTCCCAGGAGAAGGTGGTGGCACTTTTTCTTACCACCCTCACCCTTCCCGTCGGAGAAGCGATGAAGAGAAATAAACACTCCGCCCCTCACTGCGCAACACCCTGGGAGCTAAAAATATACAAAGCAGTGTGCCTCTGCAGGGCCGTTGTTGGCGGCAGCAGGCGTCGGTTTAAAAACACAATGAATTGGCCCCGAGTTGACTCTGTTAAAACGATCCTCCTGCCGGCGGTGTTCAGACAGGAGGTGATCGGTGCTGACCCAGTTGTGCTGGTCGTCCAGAATCACATGATAAATGAGGATCAGTCTGAATCCATCTTTGTGTCTGTTTGCAGTCAGAGCGTGGTGTTGAAATGGTTTTCGTTCATTTCCACAAAAGAAACAAATGGGATTCTTACGCTGTGCAGCCGCGCTGGAGCACTGCGGTACGGCGCGAGCCTCGGAGCCGCCGCAGAGAGCGGCTCGGGGAAGGTGGGGTCCCATGGCGGAAAGGGAGGGCAGAGTGTGGGAGGCGAGGGGGTCCGGCTGCGGTACAAGAGCCTGGTCCAGGGCTGATGGAGACATGGCCACTGCAGGAACATCTGAAAGTCTTTATGGAGAGGAAGTGGTAATTGTAAGCAGCCCCCCCAACCTTACAAGCCCTCTGATCCCCCCCCCCGCCGCCTCCCCCCAATGAGCCCATGTTTGCGTTTTCCTTTCTCTGCCCCCCCCCCCCACCTCTTCTCTTTACTCTGCTGTTACTCTTTCAGCTGGTCACCATAGCTGGGTACACGATGGGATGCTTTACCTGTTGGTGGGGGCGTCTCCGCCTCGGCTTCTGTTTGGTCGGTTGTCGTATAGACGTTTTGTGGCTTCGTCTCCAACGACGACCTACTGTAGCTCGGGTCCCCTGTGAAAGGGGGGGGGGGGGGGGGGGGGCGGCGAAGGGGAGGTGGAGTAGCGGCAAATTAGCGCAAAGTCAACCGCTTAGCGGTCTGCTGCTCAGAAGTGATCTCATCCGAGTGCAGGCGCAGCTCTCGCCGTAGCGCCGACCGGAGGAAGGTGGTCGTCTACGCACTGAGGTGGGACCACGGGATCGCCTGCCCCCCCCCTCAAACGAGGGACCATGATCACCGCTCCAAAAGGCTTGTTGCTGTCTGGGCCTAGCAACCGTTGCTACAGAGCCGTGCGCTCGACAACGGCCATTGCACGTCAACTGACCCGTACCCTCCAATTCAGATTCATACCTGCAACATTTATTGGCCGTAGGTGTTGTGCTTCACAGTTGAGCAAGCTGGAGGATGACACATGCACAGCTGTATCAATCGCCCCCCCTGTTCTCCTTGTCGATTCCACAGCTATGGAAAAGCCGCGTTTTGTCTGGAGGAGCTGATGATGACCAACCCTCACAATCACTTGTACTGTGAGCAGTACGCCGAGGTAGGTGCCCGCCTGGATGTCCGTCATCAAGCACGGGGGGGGGCGGGGTCTGGCCCCCTGTGAATGGCGCCTCTCTGTAAAACGGAGAGACACGCCGGCACGTACTTAACGTCATTCACGATGGCAGATGTGTTTACGCTGCGATGTCATGTGTTGCTTGTTCAGATGTCGGGCTGCCGTTGCCCGAGCTGCCCTTCAGCACAGCTTATTGGCCGTGTTTAATGCCTCCTCACACAGGTGAAGTACACTCAGGGGGGGCTGGAGAACCTGGAGCTGTCCAGGAAGTATTTTGCGCAGGCGCTGAGGCTGAACAACCGAAACATGAGGGCATTGTTTGGTCTTTACATGGTGAGTACCGCTTTGCATGGGGATAGTGTGGGAGAGAAAAAACATAAACAGTTGTCTTTTTTTCTATGTCTGTGTGTTTTGGGAGTGAAAGGGGCTCTCAGACAGGTCATCTCACTGCTGACTCAGACGGTGAACTCCAGCCTCGGAAAAAAAAGTCTATCCCTCTGGAGCTTTTTATTTTAGTAATAACACCCCTTTGGCTTTTTCATGTTTATGACTTACATAAATAAAGTAGTGGCTGAGTTTAAAAAAAAAGAAGAGCAGAGCGCAGGAGAAAGAGCAGAAAGACTTCTGCAAGCGTTTGCAATTATCCCACCAGGTGATTGTAGGTCCCTTTTTTTAATCTGCCTATTTGTTTGAACAGGATGTTGTCTGCCGGTGCCAATGCATCATATGTAAGTGAGCCTTGACATAAGAACACAAACGGGGCATAAGAGGAGGGGAGGGGAAGCAGGTCCCGCACAGAGAGGCCCAGTGTTTGCCTCCGTGCCGCGCTGTGCCGATTCCTCAGGCAGTCCAAACACCTCTGAGCGCGGCCGGTGAGGTGGAGGGCCGGCCTCTGTTCACTCTCACGCCGCGGTGGAGACAGAGCAGGCCCTGTGCGGCGTCCTGACAGGCCGCCCACCGACACCCGGGGCATTTCAGCCCGGGAGTTTATTCTCTATTGGCCACGGACCCATCCGGAGAGCGCGTTCCGCGAGTTGTCCGCCGTCCGGGCCGAGACAGGTGCCGGACCGGAACCCTCCAGCGGCTCCCGCCGCCTCGGTCACTCCAGCGGCAGCTGTTCGGGGGTTAGCCAAATGTAAGGTGGCTCTTGAGTCAAGAATAAAGGAACCTTCCAAAACACACCAAAGCCCAACCGTAAAAAAAGAGCAGTACCGGGTTAGTTGGTGTCAAGTGCGCCGGCAGGGCGGGTGAACGGCGATGGTGGAACGTAGTCCCCGTTAAGTGACAATTTACATATGAAGCGTTGAAACTTCACCATGAATGATGACGTCATCAGGCCACGGTCTGGTTTCTCTCTCTATTCTGCCACAATGACTCGTCGAGTGGTAGCTGGTATGAGTGGTTTCTCATTCATCTCAGTTTTTCTTTGTATAATTGCTGTTTCAGCAGGTTTTGATACGAGAACAGCCCTTTCCCCGATCTCTCTTTTAACTTCATCACGTCTTTTCTCTCCTGTTTTTCCGCTAGTCGGCAAGTCACATCGCCGCCAGTCCAAAAGTTAGCGCCAAGGTGAAGAAGGACAATATGAAGTACGCCGCCTGGGCCGCCGCTCAAATAAACCGAGCCTATAAGGTGAGTCGCGTAACGGTTGCCATCGCCTCAGCGTAAGATGTTCTCCATATCGTTTGTGTGCTTAAACCCCCCCCCCACCCTCTCCCACTTCCCACCCCATTCCCCTCCATTCCGCCAGACACAAACACTTCATATTTCACATGACTCTCCAGTGGTGTTCTCGAGCTTTCACGTTTTTTTTTGCACACACTATCCAGGCATTTGGAAATCCCCTCATTTGCATAGCTCGTAAAAAAAAAAGAATTCCCGGCCAGCGACTGACCCCGGCGTGCAAAGCGCTCCTGGAGGATGCCTGTACTAACAGCCCGGAGTGTCTTTCACTGTGTCTGGGTACGTTTAGTGATAATGTGTTGATTTAAGGCCACAACGTCTGCAAAGACTTTATCCCACACCCCGGCCCTGCAGATGAGCCACATGGCTGCTGCTCGGAGGACCACAATCGCACTAAACTGTAGCAGAGAGCTGTCTACATCAGTGTTCCTCAACGCAACGCTCAACGACCCCCCCGCAGGTGCCCTGAATCTAGGACATCCCCAACCAGTTCACAAGATATTAGCTTCCTAGTTTACATATTTCGATTGTAGTCTTTGTGTGTCCACCCTTGAGATTATGTTGTGACGTGTTGCGATACAGAAGGTCAGAACGCGGACATGCGCCGTTGATGGGGGGGGTGGAACTTTTGTGCACATGTGCGGCAGGTGAAATGACCAGGTGCGTGGTTGCGGCTGCACTCTTAATAAGCCCAGACACCCGGTGATTACCTCTGTGTGAGGAAAAAGGTGAGCTGGTTGTGCACGAGTTGGAGCGGACGTCAGCGAGGGGTCACGACCGACCGGGACACATTCCCGAAAAGAAACGTGAAGACCCGACGATGTGAGGGGGGGGGATTGTCTTCAAAGCAGCACTACACTGCGCGCCCCCCCCCTCGTCATACCCACGAGTCTCCTAACAGATACTCGGATTAGCTCCTCCGCCACGGACCACGGGCTCCCACTGCGTCACAACTCTATTATCTGACTCTAAAATAGACGAGGAGCTGTCCGCTGCTGCTGCAGGAGAGCGGGCCACGGGTTAATGTGGTGGTCTCACCTCAGGCTGGGGAGATAATTGACTACCGGGCCCGGGGTAATGGCGCATTAGGCAGCGAGGCAATGAAATGCACTGATCATTATAGCTACCCCACTGCGCACGCACACCCTAAATCCAGAAGAATGAGTCACCCTCGGAAATGATGCAGCCGATTGCACACCTTAGCCAACCGCTCTGTCTGATTGAGTTTGGCAAAGGGTGGAAAAAAAGAAGAAGCAATCTTTAGCAATGGAAATACAGGAAAAGCTGGGTTTGGGCTGCAGTTGCTTCCCGTTTGTCTGAATAAGGGTCAAGTGGTGCAACGCAGACTATGTGTGCTTTTGGAAGAAGGCAAAGGAACAATGCCTTCATGCCTACAGTCAGCCGTGTGTCTCAAGTATTGAAACTTTGCCTCGGGGGACATGCGTGGATGCCAATGAAACAGTGTCCCCTCTTAATGCTGTCATTAGATGTGTTGTAGTAGTTGCTGACACACACTGTGATGCTCCGCTTTTATATGAGAATTGATGCGCTGCAAACGGCAGAATTAATGTTAGTGTTTTTGTTTGCATTCATAGCTGTTTCCCTTATTCTCTGTTTTTAAGAGTTGGGGTTTTATATTTGATGAAGCCGTTCACGTAGTCCTCAGGGTGAATTGTAATAACTTTGGTGATTCCTCTGAGTTCTCATCTGGCCATCATCAGGATAACCTTTTTCATTCGTCCAAAAGTTTGGCTTCTGACCAAATACCTGCAAAACTAATGGCATTCCCGTCTGCCACCACTGTACTCCCGTCATTTGTGATAAATAGCAAACGGTGAACATGGTAAACGTTGTAGAGAAGTAAGAGAAAAATGTGCATACCGTATTTTTTATTTATAGTGGTGATTTATTTTTAGAAAGCTCTTTATTTATGACGATTTATAAATGTGGGTGAAGTGAGATTAATTAGACTGACCCATTATTAGAACCCAGTCCGCTGCCCACGGGTAAGGAAGTTGTCTCTCTTCGGTGTCTTTGGAGGGGATGCCTTGTCCGATGCAAAGTTTAATTGGGAAGTGTGCGCCTGTATGTGTGCGCGCGCGAGCGTAATCCCGGATTTGCTTGTGGATTATAAATCGCGGCGCTTCCTGTGGAGTCGGAAGAAATGAGAGCGCTACGGGCTCCTGTGCTAGAGGTCATGGAAGTGGACTAATGTGGGCATCCTGTTTTGGAGCGCACACACATCTAAAATGACACTTATGCAACAGTTGAGGTAAAAGCCTGCTAATTAGTATCATTGTGTGACTTTGCACCACCGCCACCTAAAGACCACTGTCTCCTCCTTGAAGCGTGCTGCTGCGAGGTGGATGAGGTCATCTCGGCCTCTGATGTTGTGTTAAAGTGTGTTTGGCAGACAGACCTAATGAGCTGATGTTCTCTTCCAACTCTCTCCCCACCCCCCCTCTCCCTTTCCCCCCCACCCGATGTCTCTCTTTCACCTTCCCTCTCTGATGTGCAGCTGGCCGGTCACGGGACCAAGGAGAGCAAATGCTCCATGAAGGCGGTGGAGGAGATGCTGGAGTCCATGCAGATCACCATGTCCTAGGCGACCTCGTCTCCGCCTCCCTCCCGCCCTCCTGTTCCCACACGACCACTTGGAGAGACACGGCAGCTCAAACAGCCTTGCAATGTGACCAGAACCAGATCTCTAACAGATTATTCTTATTTCCCTCTCTGGACGATGGAAGACATTGGTTTGACTCAAGATTTCCTCACCCATCTGGAACACGCAACAGCGGATTAGAAGTATTTCAATTTATTTAAACATGTTGTACTTAATATTAACCCAGCTGTGATTCCCTGTGTGACTGGATTGTCTCTTTTCTAACCTATATCACTAATTAGTAAATCCACATCAAGGCTATAGCTGTGTGAGCAGAAAAGATGAGCTATTTATAGAGACCATGTGGAGACGCTACCTGTCTGCACTGGGTCCTTTACTGTTTCTGTGCTGTAAAGTATCTTTGATCATTTTTTTTTGCTTAATCTTCTAAAATGTTTTAATAAAAGTAGAACTGATTACCAACACATTTTCTTAATGGCTGTTTGTAACAGAAGAGTTAGTCTATCGTTGTTTTTTTCAGGTGAGGGGGTTCCATTCATTGACGAACACAGCAGTGACACTTATTGTCCCATTTGAACCCGGCGTAATTATCCTGGAGAAGGAGGAGAGACATTTGTCATTGAGAAGGCGGATGCGGTAACAACAGGGGCATCAGACGGGGGCCTCTTCTTTCCCACCGATTCCAGCTGCAAAATCCTGCCTTTCAATTACCGTAGACAGCAGCTGAACCAACTTCAGCACACTGCAGAACACCTCTGTCATTTCAGTTCAGAGCGCTTCAGAGGGCGCTGCCAGTAATCTACACGCAACAAGATGGAAAGAAAAAGAAAAAAACCCATCATATTCGTGGATCCGAACCCGTGTGACAGGCGGCGAAGAGAAAGACGCTTGAGTGCTGTGGGAGGCAGCGCCGCCTTCCCCTGCTGTTCACTGGGCTCGCACGGGGAAGCCAGTGATCATCAAAGGTGGTCGCTCACCCGTGCAATGTCAGCTGTTGCATCCATTTATTTTGTTTATTAAGTTGTAGAAATCGTCTCATAATTTCACTCTGCGGCCCGTGAGAACTTGAATGTTTTTTCTTTATTTCTTACATTTTTTTTGACCGCTCTTAAGTGGAAAGCGGTCAAAGCCTAATATGGAAACCTTTATTGTCAAGTGTTTTAATACTCTGGCCTTGGTCAGTGGCTACATGAGTCTGCGTTTGATTTTCTCCTCCAGTCCGACCCAACCAATGAAGACCAGGGGATGTTTGAGCCTAAACTGACTTTGGTTATTTTTAGAGAAAAAGGGCTGAGGCTAACTAGCTCCTTTTTTGAAGAGTTTCAGGCGGAAAGCTGTGTGATTTGGAGAAACTGTGTTTCAAAGGCCGTGTGCAAATATTGGCGTACAAGTCTTTATGGACCTGTAAAAAGGGGAACAGAAGGTGTCATGACATATCGGTGCCAAACACGCTGAGGCAATAGTGCCATCTGTAGTCTGGATAAAGAACTTTAGCCTTTTAAACCCTTTGTCCGCAATGAGTGGCGCTACGCACCTGGAAGTAGACCATCGCCGTCATGCGTTAAACATCACGCGAACTTGACCGATATGTGCTGTTATTTCTAGGTAGTCTGCAACCCTGATTTCAAAAAGAAGAAAAAGATGCGTTACGCATCATTTATCATTCGGGAATCCCGGCGCAATCCAAGCCGCGCTCTCGTTGAGCCAAGAAGAACGGCGCGTGGGCCCCGCCGATTCACTGCTTCCCCTCTCTCCGTTTGTGTCCCAACTGGCTCCGGTCATCCTTTTTGACATTTGTCCCAGTGGCTCAGATCTTATACCTGGACAGCAAAGCCGCACCAACAAGACCGAGGAGAAGCGGTCAGAGGACCCCCTTAACCCCCGCTAAGCTGCCGGATCAGTTTAGTGTGTGTAGGGGATTCGCTATTACTGCGGCCCGTAATCCTGGATTCCATGGGAGATTAGCTCCCGGAGAGGGTTTGCTTCTCCTCGGTGGCCAGGTTATCTGAACAGGATGAGCTCCGGGATGATGAGCTTACACCGGGGGAAAGAGCAGAACCCGATCGGCCTGTTCATCAAAAGCAGGGGGGGGGGGTGATTTACAAGTGTCCAAGGCCGTCTCGGAGACTCATCCCAGAGCAGCTTCGCAGTGTTAATTGAAGCACAAAGGCCAGGGTTTTTTGGGGAGATCAAAGTGGAGATGGAAGAGGAGTGGATTTTGGCGAGCTCGGGTGTAACAGAGAAGCTGTGTAGGAACAAGAAGGTGGAGGGCCTGCGAGACACGGCGGGAGGAGCCAATGTGCTCCATGAGCGAGGGAAGTTTCCCAGGGTGAGTGGAAAGGGAGAGCAGGGCTCCAGCTAAGCTCATCCATCTCGAGCGCTAAAGATGGATGAGGCATGCAGCGCTAAATCCTGCCCTGTCCAGAGCCTGGTGATGAAATAGTGTTTTGGCTACGAGCAAGGACTGACCGACCCGCACTCCCCTTTTTCTGGGACTGGAGCAGCAAGATTGGATCAGTCAAATAACACCTGACATTAGTCAACACCCATAAAAGAAAATAATTACCACATTTTTTGTGGTCATTGTACAATATCACCTGGTTGATTCCATCATTTTTTTCCCCTTACACAATTGCAGCAGCATGAATGCAAACTTAATTTTTTCCCTCAAGGGCATTGGCGCTGGAAAAATGATTTCCTCAAGGCAAGAGACCGTCCCTGAGAGAATTATGTGTTTGTGTTTGAGGGAGAGAAGTGCTTATGCAAGTGTGATTATGAATGTGCGGACAATGTGCAGGCATGCCTCAGTGTCAGCTTGAGTTTGTGCGTGCATGCGAGTTGGACTGTGTGGTAATTTCAACAGTATGAAGCGCTTTTTGCCCTTGGAATTAAAACTATTGGCTCAAGGCTTTGCTGGTCCTCCTAAACCTCTTGACCGGGAGGCTCCAGACTGCTGCGATTGCTTCCAGAGGATATTCTGTGGCCACTACGAGCCGTTCTGGTTGTTGCGCCCGGCTTCTCAGCTCCAGGCTCTCTGGCAGCGGCCTCGGCCGCGCACGTCGAGGCTGCGTCCTGTCTGCAGACTCTGTCACGGCGCGGGGCATGTGTCAAAATCACAGAGAGGGCAAGTCGCCGGCTCCAATAGACAGTTGTTCTTTCCAGCGCGGGCCTTCCAAACCGCAAATCCCTTCTCAGGGCGTCTTCTCAGCCAGAATGCACAGGCGCACCCCACACAGGGCCTGGGGCCGACATTACATTAAGGAGGGAAAACCAGAATTGGCTTCTGATTGAGCTTCCTGGGTGATTGTTAATGGCAACCACAAAGGGGTATTTTATACCCCGAGAGGGATGCAACAGAGCCTTGGAGTATGTAAATGTAGTGTGGGAAGTGGGGGGGGTTACAGACAAGGCTTTACATGGATTTATGGATGCGTGCAAGCTGTAACATGTTATTTCATGGGCATTGCGAGACATCTCATCTGTCACATGATAAGAGGAACAGGAATGGTGAACGCTATTTTACTACAGTTCCAAGGCGAGGTGCCAGACCTCATTCCAACGGGAAACAATGGAGCGCATATTCCCCCACGTTGTACCTTTGATGCCGTGTCAACACTTCCTTCTCTGGATTTGAAATACCCACATACCAGACTGTCAGCGGGAGAATGTTACTCAGTCGCCCACGCAGGCCGCGGAGCAGTTGTGAGGTGCCTTTATTGCACAACTTCCATTTTATGCTATTCGTGAATCGTACTTTTAGTCCAAAATGACACGTATGACAGCTTTAGCAGCCTAGTTACATGTTTTACATGGTCCAAAGCTACAGCTAACTTGTTAATGGTGGGATTTAGGCATGCTGATCGATGGGTTAGCTTTGGACGGAACCATGCTAGCCTTTTCCCGCTTTTCTGGTCCTTGTGATGAGCTAAGCTAACTAGCTGCTAGCTGTCATTCCATATTTTGCCTACAAATTAAGTAGTACCACTCTTCTCACCAAGAAAAGCAAAATAAGTAAGTCCCAAAATGTTGAATTGTTCCTTTAAATTAATTTATTTTAAGTGTCTAAATACTTCTTCACCCACTGCATGCCGTTCGCTCCCGACTCAACCTGTTACAGAATGAGGCCATATAGGCCCATTGTGCTCCAGCATAATGCACAGAACATCACATATTCTGCTTTTAGTAATAATCACCGGCAATATTGTTATTAATTGCATCCACATGTGTTCACATGAGCTGCGCCCATGGCTGGTTTAATTTAGCAGTTGGCCGGTTCCTGTATCCTCATGGTAGCCGTTTGTCTCCTCCATTGTCTCTGCAGTCGTTGGTCACTATTAATTTCCTCAACTATGATAACTGGCAAACATGGAAGGGTTTGAAATGAACTAAACGCCCGCATCCCTAGTGAAAAGTACTTCTCGGCCTGGTGTTGTTTGATATGTGTAAATCATGGCATCAGTGAGCGGTTGAAGTCTACATCTGCAGGAAATACTGACATGCAATGTGGTCTGCTGACTCGCTCCCACTGTATTTGTTTCCCCGCCGTTCAGTTGCCGAGTCATTCCGCAAGCAGCAGCATTACCGTATTACATGCCTTCTCATATACATCCAGTCAAGATTCATCACTCTCCTCCCCTGTGACATGATCTCCTGGCAAATAGACATGAAAACACCCTCTCGTAGAAGATAAGGGGAGACAACCAGACATTCGCCTTGGATTGCGAAGAACTCTACCGTGGTATTGCCACGTACGATTTTGTGTGCGGTCAAGAACCCACACATACATGCACACACACTCGTCGGTGTAAACTTGGCAGGTGAGCGATGCCACCATCTGCTTGTGGAAAGAGGGGTATGGCAGGCTGACAACCACAAACAGCCAAGGTAATAGTGATGGGTTCCACTCAGTCTCTATCTCCCAGACAGCGAAGACTCCTCAGAGCCTGGACCTCGTACAGCATGGACCACGCCACAGCGACAAAGTGCTTCTCCAGTGTGCTGGCAGCCACAGATGCATTGCTCAGACATCGACGGAGTTTTGTGTAAACCAAACAGAATTTGTTATTCATCCAGCTCCTTCTCATGCAAATCTTGGAGACAGTTTCCTCCACTACTTCCAGGTAGGGATTACTTAATAAATGCTAATTGGGGAGAGAGTTCTGCTGGTGGAGGATTCTTTGCTGTTGGAGACACATAATGGAAGCAACAGAAACACGCAGAGAGATTAATTGAAACGGTGATGTAAGGCCAAACAGACAAATAGAAAAACAGACAAACAAAATAAAAATAAGTTTATGAGTTGGGTCCCCAATCAAAGTAATGTTTGGAATCAATGCCACAGTACAAAAAGCACGGGCTGCAAATCCATTACCTATATTGCAGACTTTTAAAGGACATTTTGTTCACCTGGACTGTGGACAGCAGAATCTCTTAATTAGGCATTGCTCTATTTTAGGAACACTAAGA